TAATCAGTTTTGAAAATTATGAATACTTTCCTTATAAATAAAATAATAATTCAGGTTTGTTAAGACATTGGATGTAGTAATTTTCGTATGTTTTGCTGAAGATATCGAACTTTCAGGAGGCGAAATATGCTTACACACATACAATCAGCAACCAAAATATTTAAACAGCGTAGTAAGAAATAAATTATCATTAATCTTTTGCCCTATGATTCATTTCGTAACTATGATCGATACAACTACTTTTTTATTAATAATTTATTAAGAAAAGGACAAATTTTAATTTCAGTTTAAAATTTTCGTGATGAGCCTGACACGATATACAGGTCAAAAAGTTAAAAAAAATTGTACACCGTGTATTACTATTTATTGAAACAAGTTACATTCATGATGTTGTATACATTCAATAAAATTTTTAAAATATCTTACAATATGCAAACAAAGTATGGAACATTTATTTATTGCGTTTAAATGTGCACGTCTGTCTAAACATAACGTTCGAACACTTTTGTTGTTGATTGTAATTCAAAAAATATAATATTAAATTGCTGAATTGAGTTGCATTATCGTCCTTCGCGTGTTTGCCTTATTGCATGTCACCGCTGTATATTACATTCATTATATACTTTAAAAAGTTTACGAACAATTATCGTTTAATTAAACGAATTGCAGCAATTTGATTGGTTGGGGGGTTATCAGTGACCCACACGGTATCGCCGAAAGTAAACATGTTCACACCTTCGCGACTGGCGTCACATATTTGTGACACTCAACATTCTTTTTTCGCGTAGAGAAAATTAAATTACTTTCACGTATATTTCTATATACAATCGTAACGCCTGGTATAACGCGGTACAAGTTAACAAGATCTTTTTCTTGACTTACGTTAATTGAAAATCCCATTGTTGCACCTATTGCATTACTACACCAATTTCTCTATTAATTTGTCACAGAAGCATCCGTTATCTTTTGTATGACTGTGTCCTTCATTTTGAAAATGGACGAAATCACTTCAAGCGTAAAAATTCATATTTCCTTATTAATAGAGAATAAAATTTAAGTTACACACAACATTAGACAGTTATAATAAATTCTTATTTTTCAACACTAAATACTTTCCGAAATATTTTGTTATATACTATAAAAATATTTTTTAATTTATTCAAATATTGAATTTTTAAATTATCTCGAAACTAAAAATACATGACTTAGTTCACTTTCAAAGTTAATGGCACAATTGTAAAAGAAGAAATAAGGAATAGGTCATTTTGATTCATCTGCTAGTGTTAACCCAATCCCATCATATTGTGATCTGTACTTGCATCAAGTTTTTTCAGTATATGTATCATGCTATAATACATAAATCAATATAGTCATGTATAAATCATATAATCGGACAAAAACGTTCACGGTTGATCTTACGTGACTGTTTAAAAATTTTATGAAGCTGCTAACTACACTACCCCACTAATAGGTTATTTAACACTAAAACTACCGTACCAGTCATGATGCCTGGTTTCGGTTTTCTTGTTTCGCAATTATTGATACCTTAAGAGCATTGAATATTCGAAATGATTTAAATTTATTATACTTGAATACTATAATAAATATCTGAGGAAACTGAAAATAATCTATTGTTACAATTTTTACAGGGATTAAATATCAATCACATTAAATGCTCAGTAGTTTTAGTGTTAAATCAGATTACACTGACACTTGCAAGGATATTTAAATATGATGCAAATGAGTTAAATCGGATAATCGACGTTCTACTGTATTTCTCCATGTGAATTCATTGCTTCAGTTTTACTAAGATTTTGAAAACACCCTGTATGTCGGATAGGAAACAAGCAAATTGCGTTATGACAACTCGTGTAGCCTCATAAACACTCGTTTCGCAAAACTTTGAACAAAAGCTGGTTTGTGTTGAGAATAAAACTTTCTCGCGTATCTGGTTAATATCACTGCGGTACCAGATCGCAATGAGGAATGCTCGGTAAATATAGAAGGGGCTGGCGATAAATGGAGGAAAAACTATATAGGTTTCTGTACTGGTGACTAATCGATATTTTACGATACCTGCGGTGGTGTACGAGCACACATTCGCGCCCGCGACGGACAAATTTTGTTTATCGGAAGATCTGTCAATTCTGATGAAGTAAATATCCTCTCTCGGGACTACGTTCCCGATACCAATCAGTTGCTTCTTTTGCGTTATTAAAAACCATTAATAAACAATTGAGTTTAAAATACGCTTGTTGTTAACGGTTTATTCATTGGAATTTATTAACGAAATTCTCAATACCTGTACTTTATTGAAAAGAAATTTGATAATCCTGTAACTAATGATTAGATAGCGGATTTTAGGTGTTTGCATTATTTCCATTTAATTATCTGAAACAGAAGTCCAGAATTCCAAATAAAATTTTATCTACTAAAATTCTGAACTTATTGCAAGTGAACATTTTTAAAATATTTAAAACCAAAAATATTTCAAGTATTTAAAACTTTCATCGAAGAAAGCTGAATTGTGTATGACATTTATAAATACTAGAGAATAAGAAAATTGGATACTAATTGTTTGATGTTTGGGTAATTTATAAATAAATCCTTCAATCTTCTCTTGCAGATATAAAAGTTTTAAGCGGTAAATATAGCGACATATGTCCTTAAAGGGTTGTATCTAGTTTCTATGATATGGTTCATAAAAATCTATATGTGCATACACTGTGCATATTATAAGAGAGTCGCATTGTAATAGGGTTGGTGAAAGGGTCATTTACCTTACTTTCGCAAGAGAATTAGTGTCATAAGAGTCGCGGCAAATTTAAATTGAAATACTTTGATCTTCTGTTTAATGGTAAACTCTTCTATCGTATTATATTTTTTAATAGTTTCCTAACTAAGAGAATACATGATAATTTAATATCGATTGTCATCGAATTTAATATTAAAATTTTTCTTCAAACAATGAATTACATTTATTCAGAAAAAAATTTATTTCGGTACTTAAGTAATAACATTAATTATTTTGTTTACATTCATATTGGACATGTAATAATTTAATATAATAACGTTTACAGGGTTATTTACGTGGATTTATATTAATTTACATAAACTAATCATCAATAGAAATTTCTGCAGTTAATATTCTTTCCAATTAATGTTCTTCCATTAAGAATTAATAATTTCGCTTGTTTACTTATAATAAGAATTTAATTATTATTTATACTCATCCCATTGAAAAATTTCGATATTTTAATCGCCTATTTTATTCGATTAATTATTTAAATGTTTTAATAATGTGATTACAATTTATACGTTTTAAAACGCAATTACAATAAAGTAGTTACAGCTTGAAGAATAAACATAGTCGAGTCGTTTAATGAAATGGGAAGAGGGAACCGAAAGAATTCCAGGATGGAGATTCTCTCAGGTTTCGAGTCCTCGAGTTTATCGTCCTGCCATTTTCTTCAGTACATTTCGCCGACGAAATTGTCCTCTTTGTATCGCACGAATTGTCGAAAGGATCATTCAGGAAGGAATAAGAACAAAGATATCCTAGCGAGCGGAGAGTCGCAAGGGAATAAGGAACGTGTGGATGCCTAAGTTTGAATCAATACAATAAGTGGGCCAGGTGGGGGGTGTATAAGATCGCCCGAGGAGACAGAGGAACGGCCGGGAATGTGGGACAGTTTCGGTGCATACAGAGGAACGCGCGAAAAGGAGCGCCCGAAAGGCGCGGTCAATTTTGGATTCATCGTAATTCAACGTAAAAATTCTTTATTGCCTGAATCTCATACAAAAATCCGTAAAACGCGATGAAATTCCTTCGACAAAAGCTAATTAACTGTTCAAATTAATATCAATTTAATCAAACTTTTTCGTCGACAAAACAAATTTTTCTTTGAATATAACCTCCGTAAACCGATTTATCGAAATTGGTATTTGCGTAAACATCTAGTTTAGTCACAATCGAAATTCTCAATTGGTGTCGATTTAGAAAGCTGACTGCACATTGTGCGAGGCAGAATCCGACACATACAGATTGACAGTGATCTCGAGTAATCTATTGTTGAGCATAGTGCTGTTATAAATACATGAGAATATCAAATGATTGGGAAATGTTGTTTTTCAAGTGACTTTTAACTCAACCTTTCGGTCATGCGTCAACGTCAGGGATAAATGTCAATCACTGAAGACGTCAAGAGAACATGAATAATATTTAATCGGTTTATAGACTTTATCGACTTTAATGATTACGTTGCCATAAAAAGTATGCGGAGAATTCGGATGGCTTATACCGATGTCACTAGACCGCCGCGAATCAATCGAGAATAATGTTTTGGACCGGTGCCGAGTAGAGGAAGTAACGCGTGTCAGTGGAGCACCGTTTAACGGAGGGGAATAAACACTTCCTTTGCCAGGTAGGACGTATGTATACTCGTTCGGGCGGTATCCGTTATATTACATTAGACGCATATGAAGTTAATCTCATTTGCCGGGGCTTATCGTTGCCGTTATAATACACCATAACGGTAAATAAATAAGGGAACGACTGGCGAGCAATGAAAAGTTCAGCCACTAAAGTCCATGAAAGAGGTTAGCGTACCTACATTACCGATACACGAAACCGAAATAACAAAATTCAGATACGATCAAAATTTATGCTCTTTCTTTTTTATATTTTGAAATAATTCAGTATTCGTCCCTGATAGTTAAATAAAAATAATTTTACCATTCGTTTCAATCGTTCCAATACTTACACCTTAAAATGAAATTCCGGCGGCGGTAAACTGACTGAGCAGGTTTTATCAGCCACCGCCGGACCAACACGAGTACTCAGATTCCCCGTGGTTGAGACACTGATTGTGTATGACTATCTACCGATTTTCATCGTACTTAAAAGAAAAATATTTGAAAGTACAATTCGAATCGAAATCATCCGTAACGCCGTCACGAGACACGGCTATGCACCTAACCTGGTCTGCCGGTGTACATACCTCTCAGTCGCTTTTGATGCGCGTGTCTTCAGGAAGGGTGAGAGAGAGAAAGAGAAAAAAGTGGCGACGGGTGTGGGGTTGCCGTCCCCGTGTCGACAAAGGCTCCTTTCGTATCGTTCTATCACATACGCGACGACATTAGGACCACCGACGCTCCGCGAAAGTCAGCCAAGTGGCGATAGCAACTACACTTCTCGCGGCACTCGACTAGCTACTGCTGCCTCCAAACACGGGACAGAACTGTCAAGAGGACCGACCGCGTCGTTTCTATGGCCTGTTCGAGCGAACGCGATTCATTCGAGCGAACTTTGTCACGTGAAAAGGTGTCCACGCTCGATCCTCTTTGGCCAGAAGCCGCAAAACACTCTCCGCCACGATATCGTTACGATAAACAAACTAAGCACAATCTCAATATAACGTGCATCGCGAACCTCGCGGCCATCACTGATTTCGACTGGTGCTAGACTGTCGGTGGCGCCACCACTTCTTTGGACGGGAGAACAAGGAATCGGACCAGTGCGCGCGCGATAGATGCCTGGTTTGCGGTTATGACATTTCGGGGTTATGAATGGTTCATCAGGTTAATACGTATTAAATATTGTCTTGTGTGTTAATGTAATGGATCTAATTTTAATCCCTTTTACAATTAACAAATAATTTCTTATTTGTGTATGTAGACATATATATTATTTAATAATAATACATTTTAAAAATATGATTTAGTTTTTTATGTATTGAAGTGCAACAGCGGTAAATGTAGTATTTTTAAAACTCTCTACTTCTATAATATATGGTAATAATATACAAATGTAGTAGCAGGTTATAAATTATGAATATGAATATGAGAAATGTTTTAAAAAATATTATTTTTATTGCGTCTGTATTTTCAAGCGTTTTATATCGTTTTTTAAATTTATTTATTAATTTGAAATGTTATGACATTGATACATTTAAGTTGTACTTCGGAAGATTATGCAATGTATTTGCCCTATTTGCATAAACACTATTATTTCCTTCAGAATTAAAAATTCAAAAAAATGTTCGATATAAAATTTATATAATTTCATTCGGGAAAATTTGAATAACGAATCATTGAATAACGCTACATCGATACACATGATATATTAAAAATTGTTGAAAATATCTTTTTAAAAAAAATAAAAACAAATTTAACAATAAATATGTAAAAAAGTAAAGCACACGTGGTAACAGCGATTTCTCGTAAATTTGCTTACAAACGTTTCACTGAAGTTGACGCGTGCTATTAAAATAGTCGATACATTATTGATTAAAAAACTGAATTTATCTTGGAAAAAATATAATAAATTAGCAATAATAAAACTGTATATCTTTATTTCTTTCAATCATATTGGCATTAAAATCTTTTTAAATAAAAATGTAAATACATCGAATACCTTATTTAGTTCCTCCCATGAAATTAAACAATATTTATGTGAAACATATGTTTTGTATTTTCAGTAGTTAAGGAAATAATAGTGTGTACAGGGATAAATTGAATATAACATTCCTTCCTTAAAAAATATTTATTCGAGACTGCATATACAAAGGTTTCGTACACTTTTAGTACATTAGTTAGGAGCGTTTTAAATAATAACTTGCATTGATTTATTCTTAAGGAAAAATATAATTACCGTACTTAAATACACGTTATTGGCAGACTATTGTCTTGATATGGCAGTGCCTTGAAAGGTTTTTAAAAATACGAGTATAAAAGTTCACCTTCACGATCTTGTCAATTGGCAATTGTACTTTGAATGTTTATAAAAATGCTGTTCCATCTCAAGGTCCTTTTTCGTTGGTGCGAGTATACTGTAAGTAATTGGCGCCCGGATAATTACATAATTCGCAAAAGCCAGGTAATCCTTGTGGCCCAGGCGGACCTCTTATTCCAGGCAGACCTGTTGACAGAAGAAGTAAAGTAATTATTAATATCACGTTCTTATACTTCACTTATTGGAAACCTATTAACGTATTCCGTAGCGACTGATTTTCGGTGCGGGAAGTCCTTTTTCTTTTGTTTTTTTTTATGCGCTTCTTATACATATTACATTATAACGTACCAAAGCTAGATAAAAAATGGTTTAAAATAATAACTTTCTTAATTATTTGTTTCGTTTTAAAGTATTTATTTAAAAACGAAATTTCCCTTTTCAGTACTACTAGGTAAATTATACCTACTTATATAAAAACGAAATTTCTTTTTAACGACACACAATCCGTTAATACACTATTCAATAACCATTCCATATTGAAAGCACATCCTTTTTAATTCTCTTAATTGTCTATTAATGCCTTTTTCGAATCTTTATAACTATTTCTGCTATTAAAAAATCTATGAAAATATTTGTACTTGTTAATCATTGATTTTTAAATAATTGCATGTCATGGATTTTTATGTTAATTATTTAAGATATTTTTTTAATTTTTATTAAATTACTAGTAGATAAAGTATTAATCCTTTGAGGATGAATGTCGTCATACCAATGACATCAGGTTTCCATATATAGAATCAAAAGTTGTAAACAAGTCATTTGAATATGTAAATAACGAAAGGTCAGCACATAGTTTTCTTCTTTCCTATTATTTAAGATTTCGACACATAATATAGCTTTCAACGAAAGCAATCTAGAAAATCTTCGTCCGCGAAGAGTTAAAATAATATTTATAAAATGTTTTTTTTTACCCGGTCTGCCTGGTTCCCCTCGTTCCCCTTGTCTTCCCGGCAATCCGATACCATCGTTGCCAGGTGGTCCTGTAAACAAATTCAAGATAATTGTAAATATAAGCAATTGACTACATAAAACAAGTCTTGGTACTACCAGGCAATCCTCTTGGCCCAATAGGCCCATCCATGCCAATGCCTTCCGGTCCTCTGTCACCTTTCTCACCGAGTTCACCAGCTGGGCCTTGAGGACCTATGGGACCTTGTGGTCCGGGTAAACCTACGAAGCCGCGTTCCCCTGGTAAACCTGGCGTACCGGGATCACCTAAATTCATTGCAAGGTACATAACACATTTGTAGAAATAATTTATCGATAATCTACTTTTATCGTTATTATTACAATCCACAATCTGACATCTATCGCATGCATTGTTAAAATATGTATTACCTCATTTTAACAAGAAAACTTTTCGACACCTCTCACTTATTACGAAAAATGTAACGTGAGTTCTACATGGCGTACCCAGTGTTAAGTAGAAAAAAGTTTGCAGGCTTAAAAATGAAATAATTTTCTCATTGAAAAATTAAAAAGATTCTACAGTCATTTATGTAATTGGACCTTTATGATACATATTGTGCAACATGAATGCTGTGGAATGAAAACATCATGCTCGCAAATCGAAGATTCTAATACAGAGTAATCTTACACAGGCAAAACTTTTGTCAGAACATTGAATAATCGTGTCCCTAAGTTGAATGAGCTTTAAATATAGAAGTTGTTATTACTTCTTTGCAGATAATATCTCCATTTATTATTTACACACCATTGAATAAGGGAAAAAAGAAATATTATACTGTAGCTATTCAAACAATCCAAAACATTCGTAAGCGTGGCAATATTTTCAAACGTATCAATTGTAGGAAACTGCAGTTTAAAAGAATACATAATTTTACGAACTCAATTTTATTTGAAAAAATACTTTGATCCGATTGATTACGTTACTAAACCCTTGCCTTAGAACAACGTGTCAGACTCGTGGTGAAGATTTTAAACAGAATTTATATATTATCTAATAATTTAATAATTTACATATTATTTTCTATTATCAATTATTGTTACGGCAAGGGGTTAAATGTTTTGAAACTATTTCGAATACAATTTCTGAACGCACGCGTGCTTAATACCGCAAAGTTCTGCGTAGGTGCAACTTTCGTACGCATACCCAATGGAAACTGTTTTCCAAAAAAAAAGAAAAAACGAAAACGCTTGAGTTTCACCTCTGTAAGAGTCCTCTATGATCTTGGCATGTGTTGCGCGTATAGGTACCTGGGATGCCTCGGGTTCCGGCTCGACCAGGACGGCCCTGTCGGGCCAGTCCAGGCAACCCGGGTGGCCCTTGAAGACCCTCTGTTAGTTCTTTCAGCCTCTCTGTGACACATGCAGGATTCCATCGTCTTTAAGGGCGCACGGCAACGTAACATGTTAAACTTCGATCGTTCGATCGATTGTTAATCGAGTGGACGCGCTTATCAGCGGGTATGTGAATCACGCTGACGATTGCCGGCTCTAACTAAGGATGAATATGGAATTTCAAGCGACTTGTGGTGGAACAATGATGACGATGACTGTTGAGATGTTTGCTATGAATACATTGGTAGCATTCATGATGGTTTTTGTAGGAAAGTCCATCGTTTGCTATGGATTTCCAAGGAATAGTAGAGTATTCCATATTACATAATAATAGTAAAACAATACCAGAAATCCATAGCACCACCATCTTTACCATTGTTTACGATTATTGTATTACTGTATCGAACTAAATGCAGGAAAACGGAGTTGGTAACCCCTTTTTGTTGGTGGTGTACCTGGACGACCCTGTGGACCAGGTGATCCAGGACGACCTGGACGGCCTCGGACTGCTGGACCAGGTGGACCCTGCATCAGTGCTGCCATCTCAGTCATCTGCTCTGTATTTTTACGTGCCAATAAAACCACGAATTATCTTTGTATTCTTGATACAGAGAGACATCGCGACAGTCACCTTTTACAAGAGTGCTGTTCTACAGCTGACACCAAAACTGAAATTTTTGTCTAATTTACGCAATATTTGTGTATGCGTGACCGGACTCGTGGGTATAAAATTGTTCAATTACAAATAACGGGAGACGATATTATGTTGAAGTAAATATCCACCTCTTAGTACGCTTGCACATATATCCCGAATTTCCGTATCGGTGATACTGCGGCCTGCTGGTCCTTGAACACCTGGCATTCCCGTTTGACCTCTGATTCCTGGTGGTCCCTGGAGTCCTGGTGCTCCATCCTTCCCAGGCATTCCCACTGGTCCGATTGGACCCTCTGGGCCTCGTTCTCCAGGAGGTCCTCTTTCACCTGGCTGATTTATATGTAATAATAATGCATGCATATCTATATTTTAAGATACTACGAATAAAAAGACATTACGGTTTTTTAGTTTTACAAGTGAGAATACAGATCTACATCTTTCTGAATTAAGATATTAATATTACCATGTCATTTACACCTAAGTAATAGTTCAATCTTGCATTGCTTATTACCTTTTATTTTGTATTAGTAAGTATATACATGAGACATAATACTCACCAATCCTGGAGAACCTGGTACACCTCTAGGTCCACTAACTCCTGGACTACCAATGGTTCCCAAGATATTCTTTGAGCTTAGAATGTCTGCAGATGAACCAGAAGGTCCGGGTGGTCCTGCGGGACCAGGAGGACCTGGCTGACCAGGTCGTCCTTCTAATCCTGGGAATCCAGCAACTCCTGGTAAGCCTGGAGAACCCTGGAACGAAACACTTTGTTCCTTCTGTATATGAACTTATTGGGTTTAATAATTGACGCGAGTATACTCACAGTGCTTCCAGGTAAACCCCTTAATCCAATAGGTCCTTGATCTCCTGGCGGACCTCTTTCACCTTTCTCTCCGGGCTTTCCATTAAATCCTGGTGGTCCAGGTATTCCAACTAAACCGTCAGCTCCACGTTGTCCTGAGGGACCTGGATTTCCCGGTATACCAGGTGGTCCCTTAATATAGTAATAAAGTAAAAAAATGATATTCAAAATAAATAAAAATAAAATAAATAGATATACCAAATAAACAGATGATAGTACAACGAAGAGATTCAGAATCATTTAAATTTCCAAAAATTTAGTTTTCTACAAATCATATTTTACTATGTCATTAAAGTGAACGTACCGGCGCTCCTGGGAAACCTGCAGGTCCAATTTTCCCTTCCAGTCCTGGAAGACCCTGTGGACCTACAGGACCTTGTTCGCCTATTGTTCCTGGAAGACCGTCTTCACCAGGTGCGCCTGGAGGACCTTCTGGGCCTGGTGGTCCCGGTACTATAGTACCAATTACTGAACCAGGTGCACCTTAATAAAATCATTAAAGTGTAGTTAGGTTTTGAAACAATCTTTGGCTACACATCTGCTGCCTGTTATGATTCATGAAGACGGTGACGAGGATGATGATGATTACGATAATCACAGTACAGTTTGAGGTTTTCGCAGCCAGAAATATTGTGAGTGTTCAATATTTCCAAGTATAAGCCGTGTCCATTAGGAAATATTTCGTTAATATTGCAGCTGGTATTATCAGAAATCTGTGGACTCATTCAGTATCAGCGAGTCCATAGACCCCTGATGATGCCAGCTGCAAGTTTAGCGAAACGTTGGGAAATCTTTCCTAATGAACACGGTTCACACTCTGAAACTTTCGACGCTCATCACAATTACAGTAGTTATGCAAAATCGCGTAGTAGGAAGAAAAATTAACAAAAGTATATAGGGTGTTAACTTTAACTCGAGCACCTAAATTATCTTCGTTATTATTAAAATAAGAAAAAGTGGACTAAATAGGATGTATATGGTTTTAAGGTGTGCATCTGATGGCGATAAAAAAATCTTGTGAAGGTCATTGTAACGGTTTTTTCAAAGTCATTGTATTTTTTTGCACATTAATATGTATTTTTTATAATACGACATGGTAATCGGTGTCAAGATGAGTTCAAAATCAGTTTCAGTTTAAAGAATGTGAAAGTATTAACATGAAAAGGGTAGGTAATATCACCTTGTTTTATCAGATGTTCAAAATACTGGCTACCGAAGCAAGAGACGTCTGTACACAATAAGTGAGTGACTGAATGCTATTTCTTATGGAATTTCCGCGGTATCCCAAGAATTCGTAGCTATTTATAACATGTACCATGTCCCTAAACTTATATCACACAAGCTCTTTGTTTACTAGCTAGAAGGTTTCCAGTCTAGTACAATTCAAACAGTGTAATAACAGTTCTTTTTATTTTCATATAGTTTATTTCTATAGTTTTAAATAAAAATTTTATTTAGTTTTCTTTAGTGTTCCGGTAAGTCAAAAATCATATTATCATAATTATTTTTTATATTTCTATTCTACGTAAATATTACTCGTGGTCTAAATTAAGATATCGGTTTTCTAAATTTGACCATTCACGTTATTTTTTATGACAAAGATATTTTTTATAACTAATGACATAATGTTTCAATCAATATTTTTACATGTACTATCGACCATAATGGTAAGATTGTTACCCAATTTTTTCTACTCAAAAATAACAACGCGTTTTTGATTTATGAAAGCGTAAGTTTAAGTCGTCTACTATAGGAAATTCCCCTATCTGTGTAAAGGCGTCACCATAGAATATGATCATTTCAAAATATTAGCAAGAATGGAATGCTTTGACAAATACATTGCAACAAAAAAGATCATATGCCAAGAGATAAGCTAATAATATTAAATTATCATACGCAGAAAACATGCCATACTTCAAATATATTACACAGGTGTACTGCAAAATGAAGGATATAAAATCTACCGAAATATAATTATAACACGATAAGAACAAATAACGTACTTAATAGGCACTACTAGTATATAAACGAAACACAGAAGAAAGATCGGTAGAAAAATACCTACAGCTACAAACAAAATTAAAAAGAATATAAAATCACTCGAAGATCTATGCACAATAATAATGGTAATACATATAATACTACATAATAATTACAAATAAGTTAACTAATATATAAAACTGTAAAATATAATTGTATAAATATGCCAAGTCAATAATAAATATAAATGTAGCAGATAAATAATAAGGCAGTATAAACAAAAGATAATAGTTTGTACATATTATACAAAGTGAAATAGTTTTTTTTCAATTTACACACCATCACGTCCAGATTCTCCAGGTTCTCCTTTTTGACCTTGAATTCCAGGTGGTCCTGGCGTTCCGATTTCACCTTGAGGACCTTGTAGTCCTTGCAATCCGGGTAATCCTGATAACCCCGCCTCTCCTTTTAAACCGGGATATCCACGAATACCTGGATTCCCATCAACTCCAGGAGATCCGATTTGGCCTGTAGCACCTTTTTCCCCTTGTTCACCTTGCGCAGGTAATTACAATTTGGCTTGATACATCAATTGTTTATGATAAAGTTGTGTACATAGTTATTATTATTACAAAAAAGTTAGTAAGTAGATATATATTATAGAATAGTTAATAGACATTAATCAAAATTTTTTAAACCACAATCTAAATTATTTTCAAATATTTTGTATGGATAAAGTATTAAAGTTTCTTATCATATGATGTCGTATAAGTTTTACATAAATACACATTCAAATAAACATTTGATCCTAGAAAAATTAAGGATAGAATTTTCAAGACCAGCAGTTATAAAATATTAATAAAATACTATTCATTTCGACATTTTATTGTCATTTATGTTTTTGAAATTAATATTCACGAATTATTTATAATTTGTTAATGGTATAATCTAAATGATTATATGAGTATATGTATAATAATAAACGGTGCGTTAGTCTTTAAAACTGATTAGCTTTTCTATAATAGAATGTAATTATATAACATAGATATAAAATACTTGCATATATAATAAATATTGTAGAAAATATTATCCTAATAAATTGGTAACTGGAAAGGGATAATTCACAGTATTTTACGAATTGAATCACACTATACGTGTATTGGTTGTTCGTCCCTTATCGATCGTTTGAAATCGGCGCACATAATAACACAATATCTAGTGTCAACAATTAGATCCATGTTAAGAGTTGCTATTTGGTTCTATCACGAGAACGACATGCATTCAGTGATTAATAAAAGGAATGGGTTTACGGACATTACATCAGATTGCAATAAATTGATTTACAATCACTTTGAATGACTGTATTTAGGTCAACCTCGATTTATCTAACTGTGTATCATATTCGTGTCATCTAACAGTGAATATTAGAATTTAACTACTTTTTAAATATATTTGGAATATAAGAAACGAAAATTCAATGTGTATTTAATAGAAAATAATTATTAAAACATCTCTAAGTGCAACTGTCGAAATTTTAATATAAAAGAATAACACAATATTGTATACAAATTAAATAATAACAAATAATTTTTTATTAAAATTGTACATTCTTATTTTGATTTTTAAATTTAAAAGATAAAGTACCTATATAATTAAATAACAAAATGATTCAGGTACAAGTGTAGATATTTTAGTACGTATCCTCACTTGAAATACGTGTATTTAAGAGTAAGGCCCGATTACACGAGAAAAATATGTTACTTGACACAGCTTCCGAATGTATAAAGAATGCATGAACTAATTAATGATAATGTCTTATTATTTTGAGAGCTTCAGAAGTAGATATATCATGCTGTATAATTTTAAAATACTGCTGTTTAAAGGAACCTGATAAACATGAAATCTATTCATAAATTTCATACTATTTGAAGTACGAATCTGGATAAAGGAGCGTTAGGTCAAGTGGAAATACTTGGGCAGTTAAAGCCATTAAAACGATTGCGCTCGACCTTTAAATACATGAATGTTGACACACTTTATTAAAGAGAATTATTTCCTCTTACGTGTCAGTGACCTTTTCCAACATTGCAATTAGCGCATTAACGGGCTCGAAGGATAAGAGAATGATTTATCAGTTATTCGCAGACAGACTAGCAATGAAGACGTTTCATTCACACATACTACTCAATTTTCAATACGAAGATAAAGTGTCAATGATATAATGTTACGTTCAAAATTTGTCTATGTATAAAGAAAAATATCTTTCATAAAGAAATCAATATATTAGGGATTTTTGTGTAAATATAAATTTGTTTGAACTAATTTAAACAAATTTAGATTGAATAGAAATCTTTTTTTTTCATTATAAAACTAAAAACTAAAAGATAAGAGTAAATGATGACATTGTTGTACTCAGAAGTGAGGTATTGTTTATTGTAAAAATAGCTTTCATGATCATAATAATAACACGTAAGTGCTTTAAACTCTTTTAAATTATCTGTTATTTTAAAGAACCCGATAAGCACGCAAAATCCGCAGCTCAAAAAATCAATCCCAAACCCACAGAATTAAAAGATTTACACAGTTTTGCGGCAGGGAGCAAAGATTAAGCGCCTTACATTCACTGTTCGAACTATAATGCGTTTAACGATGAATCACCACGTGCACGTGGACATGTACCATTCCGCACGATTTCTAACAAGATTGAATTAGTTTGCGCAGCACTTCAAGGATTACTTATCGGATAAATCAACGTAATCGTATTTAATGGTAACATTTAGCATTTGTCACAGACGTACGAACCTGTCACTGAAAAAGTAAATACGGAACGAGTACTTACCTTTTTCACCTCGTTCTCCCTTGTCACCATGCTCGCCCTGCTCGCCCTTTGAACCTCTTTCGCCTGGGTAACCTTGAGGACCCGTTGATACAGGGAATCTCGATAAAATGTCACTAATATTCCCAGGTGGGCCTGGTAAGCCAGGATGGCCGGGAGGTCCCAGCAAACCCTGATCTCCTTTCAAGCCGGGAAATCCCATGTCCCCCTATTCGAAAATAATTGAACGTAAATGTATTTATTGATTGATTGTGCCGTTAATTTCGAAAATGGACTGTCATATATTTTTAGTTTCGAGATAATTTAAAGGTTTATGTTTGAACAGATAAAACAATATTTTTATACTAAACATGTAACAACATGTTTCAGAAAATATTTAGTTTTGAAAAATAAGAATTTTGTTATGACCGTGTAACGTTGTGTGTAACTTATAAGGAAATATGATTTTTAATGTTTGAAACGACTTAGATCATTTTCAAAAGTAACGGCATGATTTTTGATGAAGGGACTTATGAACAATGCAGTATTACACGTTCGCCACCATCGTCACATATTTGTAGCAGTCGCATCTCTATTTTTTCTACAAAGAAAATAGAATTAATTCTACAGATATTGTTATTTCGAGTTATAATATACGGCATTATATTTTCATGTTTTCCATACTTTGTTTAGAACACTCGTTCGATTGAATAAAATATTACAGTTGGGAAGATTGTCACCGTAACAAACGCTGGTAGCGAAGGTGTTAATTTTAATAATAGTAATGAACCACAGTGTAAATTCAGAAATATTATAAATTTGTATTTTATTGTACTGTACAAAGCTTCAAGTTATTATAATTAATTACTTATATTACCAACAGTTCTTTGTAAAAAGTGATTCTGTGAGTCTTCGAATAAAGTGATATACATTTTTGCAATAGTACCATCACGTAAACATGCTTAAAAAATTACTAATTGCATTCAAACATGTGTGGGGGTGATGATGATTATCCATTCCAACTACGTGTTCAATGAACAGAGCTTTATTTTCAACAGAAACTATATGTACAAATCATTAGCCGCTAATATAGCGGCACTGTTGGCCACTACATTACCCTTTGCCAGCGTAACGATAATTATCTCATGAGTTTGTAGTTACTCTGAGGCTAACCTAATCCTATTTAAACCTACTATTTGCATTCTTAAATTACTTACTAGCTAGAATTACTATCACCTGTAGGTATCAACCTGCGGGTAGTCCGGCAACCTTTTGTTTCTATCTGAATGCGTCCGCACAGGTACTATCCACAGACGATATCTTTCACGTCTCCGTCGAACTGAAGGGGCAAGTGCGGCAAGGGAACGCGGAGTACAGTTTGATAAAATTGTAGAATGAGTATAATGAGAAGAAGTGAAACAGACACAGTCCTCTTGAGCATCGAGGATCAAGGCGCGAAACTTCAAAGCGATGCCGCACGAGTCAAATATAAACATGTAATAAAGAAAATATCAATTTTATTAATTTCAATCTTACTTTCTCAAACGTAGTGCTAGTGGATCATTGAGACCGTTGTGATTAAAATGAGTCTAAACACGACGTAAATCGGACTAGTTTCACCGACTTAATGAATTAACAAAATTAACGGTTCATTTCCTTAAAATCGTTAAAACTAGTCCGATTTACATCGCGTTTGGGCTTATTTTAATCACAACGATCTCAACAACTCACTGATACTACGTTTCAGAAAGTAAGATTGAAATTAATGAAATTGATATTCCCTTTATTGCATGTTTATATTTGACGCGTGCGGCATCACTTTGAAGTCTCGCGCCTCGACCCTCGATGCTCGGAACACTGTCTGTCTCACTTCTTCTCATTACACTCATTCTTCGACTTTATCCAACCGTGCTCGAAGAGTCCGATGCCTCCTTGCCGTTCTGGCCCCTTAAGTTCATTGGGGACGTGAAAAGATAACGTCTGTGAACGGTAGTCGTACCGTCTCCAGGCTTACCGCAATCTTTTTTCAGAATAGCGTACGCTCGGTTACTGAACGTCGTTTATGGCGTTTTCCTTAAATGTATAAGCTGGCTTAAGTCTATCTATTGCTACAGTTGTGTCTTTATTTCGAAATTCAACTATAAATTTCTTATTTATTCGCCACACAACAGGGAACGGATCTTCGTACGAATTTTGTAACGCGGTTTTTGCCGAATCGGTGCGCAAGAAGACGTTGAAAGCGGACGCTAAATCTTTGAAAAGGATTACGTGTTTATTGCCATCTCGCGATCCGGGTACAGGGCGTATGTCGCGAAAATGTTTTTGGCGTTGCCTCATCAGACTCGCGGGATCTTCGTCAGAACTCTGGCCTGTGAAAAATTCGGCACGTAGACGAACGTCTCACCATAGACCAGCTTAGCCGTCGATGCTTTCAGGTCCTCACGATACGCTGCCTTAACCTCTTAGGCACGGCTGAATTTTGCGCGAGGCTGTTTCTCTGTACGGCAGAGTTCTGTACGGACAATACTGTTTTCTACGCGAGTACATTGGAATGAAGTTTTTGATGATTAAATTATAATTTTTCTGAAAGATATGATACACATAATTTAACTTTAACAGTTTACTTTAATAATTAGTAATACAATTGGGTATGATCTATGATATATTGGTAGCGACGGAGCCACTGTAGTGGCGCGTCGTTCAGAAAGATGACATCCGCGAAAGCCACTATAGTGGCGCGTCGTGCCTAAGAGGTTAATACGTAGGAGTATTATTGGTAACGCATCGGTCCAATTCTGTCTACTGTGGCATTTTATCGCTGCTTTGAGCTGTCTGTGGGTACGCTCGACCATTCCGTTCGCTTTGGAGTGGTACGCCGTTGCCTTAAGATCTCGTGAGCCTAGCAAATCATTTAATCGCTTAAAGAGTCGTGACTCGAACTGGCGACCTTGGTTTGTTGTGATTCTAACCGATGTACAAAACCTGGTCACCCAGCCCGAAACAAACGTTTTAGCTACTGTTCCGGCTTCGATGTTCGCGATGAGAAATACCTGAGGTCAACGCGTGTACCGGTTAACGCAGATCAGACAGCACTTGCAGTTGTCAAATACTGAAAGCGGGACCACGAGATCGATTTGTATATGTTCGTACTTGCAGATTGACAACTTAAACTCCAACGTTTCGCTATGTAGGTACATGTCAATTGATTTTCACGCGTTGACATTCGGCACAGCTATGAGCCCATTCACGACAATCATACTCGATGGATGGCCATACAAATCGTTTGACTTGCTTGACCGTACTGTCTATGCTGAAGATAGACGTAAGTACTTACTTAGATGCCCCAACGTCAAATATTCACTCACACTAACCGTTCAAGCGAAAACCTAACCGTGCATGCTATTTCGAGTACAGGTCTACGCAGAAAAATATCCATCTGAGAGATTAGGAGAAAGAGTAGAATCAATTTTATGTGGCTTACTTTGAAAATGTGTGTCTTTGAAGAAAATATACGTAAGTACCTCTGCGTCAAATATTCACTCACACTAAGGGTTCAGGCCTATTGACTCTCCGAAGGGCGGATGTGACTCTGTCTAATTAACTCTTCGAACTCCGTTCGTGCGATTTGAAATAGTTGTGAAGATGGATATCGCGTGTTATAAAACACAGGCGCTCCGGTGGCTATAACGATGTGGTCGACGGCGTCATGCTGTACATTACCAAGATCTGCTGTCCGTTGCGTGGTCTCGAGGAATCGTACAAGGAATCGGTGACTTGGGGAGCTTCTCACGATGGTCCTTGCAGATCCCATGTCATTGACAGCGATTCCCCCGTATGAAAACGGTGACGTCTCTGCTCCACCAGTCTCCTGTGTTTTAGATCCACCAGGATCCTGTAATGACTTAGGAAGTCCGCTCTGATGATAAGTTTTTCTACGTCGACGATCACGAACTTCCAGGGGAAGGCATGTTGTAAGCCGAAATTCAGGTTGAAGGCCCCTATATCATAAGTATTTATTATCGTACCATTCGCTGCTTACATTTCATATTTCGACTTCTCCGATCATCCTTTGATTCGTGTTCTGGAGTAAACATAGCTTCGAGCGAGTGTCGATAAGGTATTCCTCTTTCGTGAGTGTCTGTTATGAATCAGACTTGAGATCGTCACTACTTGCCACACTCAGTGTCAGGCTGGTTCGTTTCCTGACCCGGGATACGTGCATAGTGGCCGGCACTTCGTAGACCGTTCTTTAACCCCTTAACCCACATTTTTTTTTTTTAAAAACCGGCCAAAAAAAATCAATTTTGATATACTGCGCTTTTGTTCCATGGAAAAAGGCTATATTTTATTCTTGAATAAATAAGTATTATAGCTTACAATCCCATGTAAATGATAAATATCAATAAAACGATTTTTTTCCTTTGATTTCACATTGTTATTTTCACAGTTCGGTCTATTTAGTGCACTCGAATTAATTCGAGCGTGCAAGTTAAGGGGTTAAACACCCTGTGGTATCAGCAGTGTCCCTGGGTTGCGGAGAATGTTTCCTTCGGACGCTTATATGAACGATTACTTGAACGCGAGCTGGAACGCGAGCTGGAACGCGAGCTGGACCGGTAACTGGATCGTGAGTTGCTTCTACTCCAGCGATACGACTGGTTCAACTCTGCTATTTTCAATTCCAAATTCTCCAGTCTTCGGCCTAGTAGATCCGTCACTCGATCCGATGTAACGGCGGTTACTTGCGGTTGTCCGATTCCCTCTGCATGGATCTGATCAGCGTTTTCTGCTAGCGTATTAAGCGGCAGATCTGCTTGTGAAGAAACAATCGCCCGCGTCACATGCGACAGTCGTTCTACCCACAAGGTCCGCAGGAATTCATTCGAGACTGTGGTTCCCACCAAGCTTCGTATCTGCCTAAACAACTGCGGATCGCAATCTTCGGATCAGCTCCGCTTTTAATGCCTCGTACTTGTTGTGTTCCGGCGAGCTTTCCAAAAGGTCCTGCGCCTCTAGCGTATATCTTGGTTCGAGTTGGGACACTATACAATAAAATTTCGTATTGTCCGTCGCAATATCGCTTAATATAAATTGCGCTTCTATTTGGCTGAACCTAATCTGACTAAAATGGCGGAACGCGGATTGCGGCGCGGCTTACTTCTGCACCTCTGTCTGGGGCACTAGCACTCGCACCATTACTGATTTCTCCCACCGTTTTGGGTCTTTTTTCGCAGCACCCGCGAACCGAAAAGAAAAAAATTTTTGTTGGTTTAGAACTCTGTACGTTGAGTGTCTGTATGTTGTTTAATGCGCTTTCTAAAATATTGCTAATGCTGTGGAGTGACTTCCAGGTCCAGTCACTTTCTCAGAAATAACGTATTACACTGCGAATACCATAAACCTCGCTGAACATATGCTGAAAATTTCTTTTACCGCGCATTGTTAGCCGTTTCACATGCATTGTGCGCCAATTTTCTCTCAATTTTTTTATGTATTAAAGGACGGAATTCTATTTTTAATAGGATGCTAAATATCAAACATTTGATCGAAAATAAATCTAAAACTATGATTTAAACATTGAGAATGCGTTAATAAAGAGGTTAGTAAAATTTAGGACAGAAAATGGTATTATTTGTAGAATGATTTAATGTTAAACAATAAATTCATAAACACACTCGTTCACCACGTTCTCCCTTCAGTCCAGGGGGTCCAGTTAATCCAATTGGTCCTTTAGGACCAGGGAAACCTCGAGCACCAGTTAATCCTTGTGGGCCCTGGTTAAATCATAGTTATATAGTATTACAATTAGTAAAATACCGCAAATAATAAATAATAGATAGCTTATTTTATTTTGAATTGTGGATATCAAAAATAAAATATCTTATTTGTTTCAAATTGTTAAAGTAATATTTAACAATATTATTTTATTTCAAGGATATTGAAAATGACAGAATTTTATTTTGAAGTACTCCTATTTAATAATTAAACTCTAATTCGGCTGAATTAATTTTACATTCACGAAGCAGTAGTTCAATTAATGAAAGCTTTACCGTTGTATTCTTTACATGCGGTTATATAATCGAATTTAAAATAACAATAAAGGTACATTACCAAATATTATAGTTTCTCATGTAATAAAACCATTTATTGCGTATGCGCGTTGAATTATGAGCGAATGTGCGCGAAATAATAGTAGAGAGTGCATATGCATACATGTGTGAGTATAAAAATGGTATAATTTAAGAAGATAGCGAGGAAGAAAATCGCAGGCACGTATAATTGCCATGAACCAGGAAAGATGCATAATGTATACGAACTGTGGTTTTTAATTACTATTCCTTAATTACTTCATTTTTATTTTACTTATTTTTTAATTACTATTTCCTCGCCGAACTTTAATAAATATCCATTACACCTTCTTTTCCTCCTCAATTTTATTGTCAAAAAAATATTTCGGATACACAAATAAAATACGGGGTTAAAATATTTACTTTTGATTCTAGATTATTAAAATAAAAATATTTTATTTTGCTTGATATTTAAAATATTGCTTTACGTGAAGTATAGTGTCTAATACTTAAAAGTACTTTAATACATTTTTTTCTAAATTTTACTCGTTTCAGTGTGAAAATAATAATAAATATATTGTAGTATGTCATTCAATTAAAAATACGTACAATACTGCCTTTGTCCCCTGGTATTCCTTGTGGCCCCGGTCGTCCGGTTAAGCCAGATTGTCCAGGTGGTCCGGGTGGTCCAATTTGTCCTGGTAAACCAGCTAAACCCTGTTCGAGCAAAGACTTTCATCGCAAGGTGAGGTTTTGGGTTTAAAAGTGGAGAAACACTAAGTGTTAAACCTGTGCACTCCTACGTTGAATACGACTCGACATCAAATTTATTCAAAAGTGTACTTCTCTGCCAAGTAAATTGTATTATGTTATTACACTATTTTAATGAGCTACAAATGTATTTAATTGCTCACTCATCAAATTATATACGTATATATGCGTATTTTAAAATTTATTTTTATTTGTATTGTCTTGATTATCTACTCTCCTCATAAGAGCTCTATGCTGTATTTACATTCTTTCGAAACAAGGTGCTTTGACATGTTATTATACTATTTTCATATTAGTGAAAAGTGTTTTTCACACTGTCCCCTATCAACCAATTGTCTTCCGCAATACATTTTAAATAAAACATTTAAAATAATACAAAATTCTCGAGAAGAAAATGTAAAAGGAACTCGAAGTGGAAAGATTTAATAAATACTTATCAACGAGTCAGATCTACGGGAATGGAAAGGGAGACAATGTTTTTAGGATGTAAATGATTGTTTAACTGGATAGAAGTGTTTACCAATAACGGGAACTTGTGACTCACATCTGTGCCATTAATTCCTGGCGGCCCCTGTGGACAGATAATTTCGCAGGCGGGTCGCCTCTGAGGTAATAAAGGACTGCTAAGGCTCTTCTGCAATTACGTTAATTACAACCGCGGAGTCTTAATGGATTGCCAAGTTGTGGAAAATATATAGACGTACCGGCAGTTCCTCGCAGGTTTCTCGCGTCGGTCTCGTAGGGTCACAATTTAAGACCATCCACTGTATATCGATCTGAAGGAACATACAGAGGGTCGTAGTAATTGCGATGAAGTATCAAAGTTATAAACAGATACAATGTGTTGACGCATTTTTTGATTAGACGTATCTTCTACAAGTTATAATGGTTAAATTCAGAGTTACACAAGTTCATGGAATTATTAAACTCTATTTTATAATTGTTTTAATGTTAATGTAAATAATTTTATGCGATTTCTAATACATTATACATGTTATATGTATTGCATGTACAAAGTATCTGCAAGTATCACAAATATTAATGTAAATTTTTATATAGAGTGTTTTGAATTACAAAACAAAAGTATGAAAATATTTATTGAAGACGTTTTTGGCTATTTTGTAATCCTACTTCTCAGACCAATTGGCGAAAGCCTACGCAAATTAACTCAAATGTTTCAGACCGAAATTAAAGTGGCAGCTTCTCTAATCAGTTACTTAAAATGATGTTTTGTTAACGAGATAAAGTGTTCATAATAATTACACTAGTTTTAGTACTGTTCTGTTACTCTAGTAAGACCTTCAAATTCTTTATTACTCAAATCTTTTGAATACTAAAAACAGTACTTAACTTCCTTCCATTTCTTAATTCGAAAAAATTAATTCGAAGAATTTTAGTCAAAGCAATATGGTAATCACGTTCTTTAACACTTTTTGAGACATCAAACATACCAATGAATCATACATCCATAATTATTAAAAAGAAAATATTAGAAATAACTCAAAAGACAAATAAGGAATCATTGTCTTTAAAAAAAAAGTTAAATGAGAAACTACTGCTTTAATTTATGTTCGAAGATTCTTGAGACAAATCTCATGAAAATAACTGTAACTTAAAAAAAGAAGTTAGTTAAAGAAATCCTAGTTTCAGAGATTAATTCCTATTGCAATACAATAGTTACAATAGAATAGGTCTTCGCGTCGTTATTCAAGAAAATGGGCTAATAATACCATCACTAACTTCTTGTATGTTTGTTACGGTTCTAGTCTACAAGTGTAGCACTAAATCTAGCTTGTCCCAGTTATGTCTTAGCCTTGTTCATTACATAAAGTGTTTATTAATTAAGTGCTTCTTAATTGCGGCATGCTATATATTTGTATCCCGGAGAATAGCAAGCATCCCCCGTCGATGCGTCACAGTCTTCACAAGTGCGTACGACTACTGCGTGTAAATACATGCTGCGATCATGCGAACCACGAGTTTCACAAAGTTTCATGAAATGGGATTCCCTGTACTCTCGAAAGTATCGTAAAACTTTACTGTGAAATTCATTGCAGTTGCATAACGAAAATTATGTGTTCTTTCATATCTACCTGTTTCTACTTGCAAGGTCACCTTGACGTTTTCGCTAACTCTGAGTATTTTTATATTCGATAGTTAAATGTTATTCTCTATAACAATTGGAATTTAGGAACCACTAAAGATATTTTGTTATCACAATTCAAAAGGAGCGTTCCATTTTAACCTACCCTCTCTACTTCAAAACCGACATACCTAATAACAGTTATGACTCTATTTCGGTTCTCTATAATTATTTCAAGAGCCGAAACCGATATCATAACTGTTCTCCACCTCTGCTAAGAAGAACTCTGTACTCTATTGAGTACTGAAAACATTATCGATCTTATCGCCCACCTCAGTAAATACTTGCATACTGTCTGTTAGAGGAAAGTTGGCAAACGGGACGATGTAGAAGCAAGACGGGTTGCTCGATATGTGCTTTGTTTATAGTTTTGATTAGTTACTTGTAATCGTATTGACGAATAGCAAATTAATATTCAGATGAGATGAGAAAATATGAAAATTGACCAGCGAAACGCGTATTTTAGGTTTTTGCCAACTCTCGTGCAACGGACGCTATATAATGCGCGAATTTTCGAGGTGCACGATCGAACTTACCGGTACAGTGAGTATGCTGTTGGACATCTTCGATATAGAGATTTTCCCATCCACTTTCATTGGCCCCTGAGGTTTCATCGGTAATACGCCAGTGTACTCGCAGTCGATGTGGACCACTAGTCTATCCTTGAACGCCCCGATACTAACTTTGTGCCAATTCTTGTTGAACAGCTGTTTCGATTAAATAGGAGTCACATTTGTTTTGCCAAACGTTGTCCAATGGGCAGTTTACAATGAAAAATAAGTAGGTATTTCATTTTGATAATAGAATTATGAAACGGATCAAAATGATTCATTTTAGATTGTTTCTTCCATAATTGAAGACTACAGTAGAAAATGTAAGTGGCAACATCCAATTTCTCAGGAGGAGGAAGAATGTTACTTAACATTACGTTGAACGTTGAATCGTGATGATGTCATTTTTCAATATAATCAGCATCATAGACGACTGCTGTTATTGATAACTACTTAGGAAAGGAATGTTGTATTTTAGTTGTATATTGCAGGATAAATTTAGAAAAAGAAAATTTTTTAGTTTTGTTGCTTATAATGTTTTCTACAAGACAGCTCTTCAATTATCGAAAACATTAGGTGGTTTGCTGCAATATTAATTTCTTTGAACTTTTTTTATTATTTTGATGTGCTGAAGCTACCCCCAAAATATTGAGGTGATTAAAAAATTTCGACGTTTTTTATACGTCGTTAACAAAGTAATTTGTTTCCTCGAAATATATAACACCTGTGTTCAAACTATTATAACGTGTATAAAGGACACTTCTTTCTTCGTTTGAGTTGAGCTAGTAAACTAAATCTATGAAACGTCTACAATATACAATATACGTCTACAATACATTTATTCTGGAACACCCTAACTAATACAAGGAACTTGACTTTTCAACAAGTTATAATGGTTAAATTCAGAGTTACACAAGTTCATGGAATTATTAAACCCTATTTTATAATTGTTTTAACATTAATGTAAATAATTTTATGCGATTTCTAATAAATTATACATGTTATGTGTATTACATGTACAAAGTATCTGCAAATATCACAAATATTAATGTAAATTTGATGACTGATACAAGGAACTTTTAAACAAAAATTTCTCGAATATTTATATGTACGATTTCAAGTGAGGTTCGCTATCTTTTATTGGTTGTTCGAATAAAATTCAGCCCAGTACTACCTCCGAAGTATTTCACGGATTATTTGCGCAATAGCTTGACATGATTTCCTCGTATCCTGATGCAGTTTATACTACACCCACGCTGTTCGCGATCAATGTTTGACAAAGGATCGGCTTGACAGAACAGGACTTCGTTTCGAAGCATAACAGAGATTCGCGGTTTCTCTCGGACCGTTTTAATCATCACGCGATCGTCGATGACGCTTTTAAAAGCTGCTCTCGCTTCGAATTGGGTCTCCGTTGACAGTGCACTCGAGATTAAGAGAGTTGCGCCTCGCTTCCGGACATTTAATCGTGTTATGCTGATATGCGTAGCTCGTTTACTTTGAAAATGGTTCGCGAATCAACGACACTCGAGTGCGTCACAAAATTCGAATACTTTATTATCAATTCTCGTTTAACGAAGTTCCTTCATCACTTCTATGAAAGAATAATTCTATTCGATTTTTTTATGTAGTTTATATTGCCACCGGTTTTGTATAATTGAAGCAAAAATTATTATTACGACACTTGTTCATACGAGCATTGTTAATAGGATAGATCGAGGCGAATCGGATCACAAAATCAATCAGATCGGAATCAAATTATATTTCGCATGTCCTGTTTCTCTTTTGCCAAAGATAGATTTAAAAATTCTTTTTCACGTTTAATTACTAACGATTAAGTAGTTCTATTCGTTTATTATCAAAGAGAAAAAGATCCGATTCGCCTCAGTCTGTCCTATTAAACAGATTTTCACAAAATGTAGTGGCTTATACATTGGCACATTTGATGAAGCAGAACTTATCTTTATTTTTGTTGAAAGAATAGTATTTCTTGTATTAACTTCGAATGGAATTATACAGAAAACATTTTTATTTTTTCTACATACACAACGATTAATATCCAGTATTAATATTTATAACGAGCATATTTATAAATACATATACCATTCCTGTTTTTATTATGTATTGAAAATAAATATTAATTATTAACATTAGAACTACCGCACCCGTATCGCTCGGTAATTCCAGTATCGACCGTATCAATTTAGTGCAACTTAATTTATTATAACCTTTCTTTGTTTTAAGCACTGCTGTTAAATAGCGAAAACATAGAAATGAAATAAACTTTCTCGTGATATTCTTTCTTAAATAATCGAAATCTGGTTCGAAGTTACGATTAATAGAAAACAGTAAAAACATTCTTTTATACTCATATGTCAGAGAAAATTATATGAAATAGATGAAACATAGAATATTACTTACACTTTCCCCCGAAAACGATAATGTCTGCAATTCTCTTTCCGTGTTTTTCATCGAAATGTCCAGGGTCAATGTTTCTGGGTTCATTGCTACTAAAAACTGGGGCTCGTTTTCCATGTCGATGATTCTGATAATATGCCAAGCATACTTTGGTAGTTTCCTGGCTCTGAACGTGCAGACTATGCTAAATTCATCTGGCAAACCATTTGGAAGTATGCTCCTGGCGTGAACCGAGGAAAAAAATTTGTTGTTACGAATCGAACCTTGGTATCTATTAAATTGGTACATTAACTCTAAAAATTCTAAATGTATAACTTATTTATATAAATAACTATATATACTCAATGGTATATTTTTGAGAAGCAATATTTTTAATAAACTAAAAACCAAGAAAGTAAAATAAACAATTTATTTTTAATTTTTTAAAGGATAGAAGTAATCTCTTACATCTTTTATAATTAAACTGGCTCGAAGGTAATAATTATAGGAAGAAAAATATTTTTATAATTCGATTATGCTATATATAAAATAATGATATAAAGCTAATTTATACATTTTTATTACAAGAAAGTGGAATTAAAAACAAAGGTTTCTTTTGAATGAAATTGAGCCGAACAGTGCACGGAAGGTACTACGTCATTATCTTAGTATAAAATATTGAAACGTACTTTATTGGTAAAGTAACATCAACATCTTTCCCCAATCTGTAGGCAGTTTGCATTCGATTGCTACCTCTAACTCGCGTTACACCAACGTAATGCATTTCTAGGCGATCCAGTTTCAATTTGCTGATAAAGTCGAACGTTTGAAGATCGTCCTCGGTACGATTGTGACCTTCGCATGGTCCTCGCGGTGAATCTAGCATCATTTCGTCTCCGATAGCATACTCTGAGACAGTTAACGATAATTCAGCTTATATAAAAAATAATGTGATATCGTTTACCAATAAGTGAGAAACAGATTTATAGAAAAATGTTGGTTTTTGTAATTAAGGATAGCAAAATGAAGATAGAACAGAATTTTGTTTCTCATATTTATAGTTACATCAGATTAAAAAAACTATAAAAAGGAATGAAGTTTCATTAACACCTGTAACTTCCATATATACCATCCTTGTGTCTAAGGCAAGGATCTACCAGGAACTCTTACTGATGAGTCCGTTGGTAGATCGCGGACGAAACACTCTTCCCTATCGCTTTCCTTTTTATTATCATCAATCATTCAATGGCGGTACTGTTCCCGGAGTCAGCGACAGATACTAGCTATGACGAAGACCCGGCTCTACCTGGCATACTGACTGCCGAAGAATTTAAAAATACCGTTTTTACAGAATTCGCGTATCAAGTAAGAATTCTAACAATACAGATACATATATCGATCGATTGAATTTGACTGTCAACGCGAACGTTCTAAATATGGTCTCATTATTCCGCGTCAGAACACATTCGGAAAATGAAACTCGTTTGGATACCGACTCGTTCAAGAGGCCATCTGTTATTTTTACTTTGCGATGTGTACCTCACAGACGAACGTTTTTTACTATAAGATAGAGAAATGCAGGTCGGACGGTCGATCCCAAGGTCAAAGTGCTCTGACGAATTCGGAAAAATGTAACGCATGCGGTATAACTACTCCCATGCGAATTAATGTATTGTATTTCATTGTTCTGGCGTATTTACCTCCACTATAACCGTAGCTTTAGCCTTAGCCTAAAGCTTGTCTAGAATAAAAAATGCTTTGCAAGCGGGGTAGGAAAATAATGTAGGAGTGCTAAATGCCAGAGAAGTGGCAAGCCTTGGTGACATCATTTGAAAGAAATGTCCTATTGTTGCACAACCCAATAAATTTTCGTTCGAGTCACTCTGATCAAACGGAGCTGATAGTTCCACTCTCACGATTGTATAAATTGAATGACAAAGTTCAAACACAACACAATAATTGTACGTTTTATTTTACGATAGTAGATCCTTTGTCACTAACCGTTATTATTACGTTCACTTTCGTGAGGGTCATCCATGTCTAGTACTTGGTATAAATTTAAAATTCATTAAACTTAAGTAGAAATGATGGGAAACTATTAAAAACAATCAGAAATAAACTGAAGGTAGTTAAAAATAAACGGAAATCATTGAAATTAGTAATTAATAGTAAGTTAAATAAAAATTCATTAAAATTCAAATGTTAAAAATTTCATAATATAATACTTTAATGAGAATTACAAATCTTAAATCAGACGATTGCGTAAAATACAAGGGCATTCGATGTAATTACTTTTCAGTTTATTATTTTCAGGAGAATAGGCTACAGCTTCTCGTAAAAACATTTAACACATGCTGGGAAATTCCGAACGCCGAACAAAGACCTTTTTACCTGCGGTCCTTTGTCACCAGGAACAGTGGAAAAATTCCGTTTCCAAAACCCACCAAGGACAAAATTACCCGACTTAAATCGACTGGCCCATTTCTCACACATCGAGTATTTCTGAAAGTCGCCCGAGACGCACAGGGGTTGAAAATAATTATGATATCAGTTTCGATTCTTAAAACGGTTGTGAATCGAAGCAGTCATAACTGTTATTGGATACATATACCGGTTCCAAGCTACAGTCGAGGGACAAAATTATATGAATAAGAGGTAATACTATATGTCGATAAATTTTAAACAAATCGGAACTAATTTTATATGCGTAACTTTTATTTATTACATACTCTCATAATACACAAGTTATTTGTTGAAATAGTGAAATTCATATTTACATTTTTGTTTAAATGAACGATATTGAGCGTGAAATTCATCTATCTGTCAAGGGACAAAGATAAGTGGACACTTATATGCAACTGTAAAAAACAATATAAAAGGTGAAAAACTATATCAAAACTAAATAAAGCTGTAAGAGACAATATAAAAAGATAAAATACTATAAAAAACTGTATAAAACAATATAAAAAGGTGAAATACTTGCAGTTTCATTGTGAGCCGAAAAAAATGAACAAACACAGTGCACTCCTAACACTTGCAAAAATGAATCTCGCACAACCTTCTTAGCGTCGATTCTGTTTTCACAAAGTTAACATCGTTTGTTAAACAGTAGCAAAATGTCGAAAACTGGAGAAATTTCAAATCAAATTAGCGGGTTAGTTGTTTCGGATTATTGTAATAACATGAGCTATCGTACTGTTATTAGGAAGTACCGTATATCTAAACGCGTAGTAAAGAAAATTTATAAAAAATATTTAGTTCATAATACTGTCGAAAATTTCAGAGATCGTGGACAAAAGAGCTGCACTACTATATATAAGAAGACGGTCGTATTCTTGAAAAATATCCGAAAGATACAACAACTTCTGCTGGAAACATTGTAGAATCATTAGAAGGTCTATGAGGTAAATGATTGATAATAAAAGAAGATATTTGATAGATCGCTCGCACTTGATTCTCACTTATACTCTCTTCGCTTCGCTTTAAATCAACGGTGCTTGACCATTTCCTCGAATTAAATTATTTTCCATCGTAATTGGCTTTACCCAGACCACGAATGACCTTTACAGTAGGTCATTGCATTCGTCTTGAAATACTCTATCAGAATGTAAGTAAAAAAATATACCGTTCTATTTAAAAAAAACAGAGATGACCTTCGTATCTCCTTGACGCCTCCACCTATTAAAAAACTGGTAACATCGGATGATCAGCACCAAATAATTTTGGCCTGATGCATTTTTTCCTCTTATCAATAGCAGCCAAGTTATTCAGGTGGCCGGTTTTAAGTGCCTCACCCTGTATACTACTCTACCGCTCAACTCCCACGCACTTCTAATGTTCAGCCCTCCCCCCATCACTCTTTCTTTCTTTCTTCCACATGTATCGCTTCTCACTTGCACCCTGTCCCTTGCATCCATAGCTAGCATTCTCGAAATCACGTATATAGACGTTTATTTAAACGATGACAATTTCTATATATTTTTCGTTGTCAACACAAACTTCGTTTTTTTTTCAATATCTTTTCTTTTTTTCGCGTTTATTCAAAACAACGCATACACGCACGCTACACCCATACATATGCACGCATATCCATGAAGTTTACATCAATATTAACCTACACGTCTACACGCATATACTTTCCAAATCACATGATTCTCAGGGTCCAGTCGGTCGGTTCTAAAAATTCTTTCCTTGCACATCTTCGTCCACTCAAGAACCACCCTGTCTACAGTCACACTTTCCCCAAACACACCGTGCGTCACCCCGTCGCAACATGACACCAGCCACACGCCTAAACAGTTGTCCATTCATACCTTAAAAACTAAATAATAACCTTCCGTTTCGATCGATCGACAGACTCATGAATTGCGAGTGGTCGTTGCCTGCGTCGCAGCGCGTTTTCCATTCTTACATACATCATTGTCATTTTGGAAGAATATAATATGGAACAACGGGAGTAAATTTGAACAGCGGCAGTTAAAAGAGAAGCATCAAGTATGAAACAAACGAAATGAAACGTACAAACAGCAATTTATTACATCACTGTGAAATTTTTCAGAGGAACATTGAAGGTGTGGGGGTGTTTTTCATGATACGATATACAGACATCAATTCAAATCGATGATATAATAACTGTAGACAAATACATTGATATATTAAATGAAGATTCGCAGCGAACCATTTTAAAAATGGAGATCCAGGAAGATTTTTATTTCAACGCGAAAATAATTCGAAACATACTGCGAAAAAAATCTAATTGATTTTTGAAGGATTCAAATATTTACTTTTCAATGGCTGGCACAGAGTCCCAACTTGAACCCCATTGAAAATTTATGGGTTTTATTAAATACTCTTTATTTGTAAAAAGTTTGAATAATTGGTATTTCAGTGTTATTATTATCAATAGCTACAAGAGTTTCAATAGATAAATGAAATAATAAAACAAATTTTTTCAGATGCTTACATTCAAAATTTGAAAATATCGGTAAAAAGTAAATCGAAAATTTAATAAATAGTATTCTACGACGTTTAGAAGCCATAATTCAAACAAAAGGGGATAATATAAAGTAGCAATTTTAGTACTTACTTAATTTATAAGAAATTTTATTATGTGTCCACGTATTTTGTCCATCGAAAAATAACTGACTTTTCTTCTTAATATTGTTTACTTGTACAAAAATGTAAATATCATTTTCAATTTTTCTAAATTGAATTTGTTTAAATTGTCGGTTATTGTCAATATATTATAGTGGATATTGGTCGGTTCTGTATCGGTTCTATAATTGTTATTTTTTGGTGCTGAGAGGTTCATGAAATTATTTATTAATCTCGTTGTCACCATTTAAAAGCTCTTTTTACTTTTTTCGTCTCATCGACATACACACATGCATGCACTTACAAAAAGATACACATAAACAATTGTCCTACAGAATTTTTTCAAAAGCTTGGGGTAAGAAAAAGGAACAAGTTATAGATATTTGAATCTAGCATTAAAAATATTGTTAAGATCACTCATTAAACTTTTTGTAACAATATTTGTATTGGCTAATACAATTAACACTTTATCTACCTATATGTAGCAGTAAAACATCAGTGATTAAATAATAAACATTTAATAATTTATCAATAATTTAGTTGAGTTTGAATTATCCTGATAAAATTATTATTTGAAAAAATATTATTAAGCTCCTTTGTAATATAATATAGTCATTAAAAATCTATTAACATGCTTATGACAAGTAAAGTGTTAAAATTGATATATTATAAGATGGAGCCTTTCAACAGTAAATTTAGAATATATAATTAGGAAAAGGTAGCAAATGTGAATTAATTATATTACTTACGAGTCTTGAATGAAAGAGCACTTACGGATATGTTTGAATTGCGCGAGCACAAATATCCATATTGAGAAGAACATTCGCAGATGTGGAATATTCCTGTAGAAACGATTTTGAATTAATTTTATGTACAACAAAAGTATGTATAATGTATATTAGTGATCATGATATTGTAGTTATATATATATATCAAGTGTGTATATGGTAAGTAATGTGTATAAGAAGGTACGATGAAACAAATACATAAACGTATAATTCAAATTAAACATCCGCTATATTGTTATTATTATAGGTACTATAATAAAGATAGTACAATTCTGCTTAATAAATCCATTACTATAACACTAGCTATGATTAGCAGAACTACATAAAAAACTTTTTCGAAATGGTAATTCTTACGACTTTCTAAAGTTTAACAAATTCCTTATTTTATATTACCCTAAATGGATACTGCTAGAAACAGTGATAATATAAAGTAAATGGTTCTACTTGCTTAATGAAAAGACAATTTTCTATGCAAAAAAAATATATCGATCCTGCCAGGATTCGAACCTGGAATCTTCTGATCCGTAGTCAGACGCGTTATCCGTTGCGCCACAGGACCATCTTGTTAAAACGTTTTATTTTTATTTTCATATGCGGTAACATTTTATTTACATTCCACTTAATATATTATTTTTTTCCTTTTCAATAGAATGGAAACAAATGATCTTCCAGAAACACATTGTGTCAATTTCTTTATTTCATTGTTTTATACATAGACATAAATGTACAATATCGATCGATAATACTGTTGCCTCCACAGAAACTTGAGTTATCGCTGTAATTAATACATCTGCGTAATTATGTTATATACATATTGCGATATAACTATTTTTTAATATGCTACATATAAACAGATCTCTACATTTATGATAACTTTCAACCAGTTACTATATTACGCATCTGTATACGTAGTAACCGTTTATGGCGACATGTGTTTAGTCTCGTAGAAGCTACATATGTATTTCCATGATGAGTAAGGGCTGGTACGCAGTATCAGTCAGATTTCGATTCGCTCTCTGTCCACTCTCGTTCGATGAAATATTCTTTAGTTTTTCATGACAGAGATGTTTAACCCTTAGCACTCCAGGTGTTTTGTAATCTATCAGCAACTGCGACTAATTTTTATAGTATTCCTAGCGAAAATGAGAAATGCTATAACATTTCTTCGATCTTTTATTTTCCTTTTCAGTTCAAAATTTGGATGTGCGGAAGATCTAATAATTTTAGGGTAGTTTCTTCAAGATTCATTAAAATATTTAATATTATAACTGGTGCAATATTGGAGCCTACAGAGTTCAAAGGGTTAAGTTACTGCCCTCGTGCTAGTAACTCGGAAACAACATTCCTCCAATACTTTTACTCAGGAAGTTAGCCGAGACTGTGTGTGTTAGTAGTTCTATGTAGTGTTTAGTACAAACAGATAAAAGTAAATATAGGGAGGGTAACTTTTCACGAGGGGAGTATCATCAGATTGCCCGCCGGCACTCAGTTAGACACCCTTAGTTTATTGCGCATGTATGTAACACTACGAATTTCGGTTTGACCTAACTCTATCTTTCTTCGTCGAAAATAATAGACAAGGAAATATTTTCAAGCTGGTGTGAACAGAGCGGAGCGGACCGATAGTATGCATCGGGCCTTATGTTCAGTATAGTCGTAAGTTGCGCAATCAGGCCTGGGAAACACGAACGTTTCAATGAAAAACGTTACAATGTATGGTAGGCCTACCAATTACATACCTAAGTACAAGCTAAAAGTGCAACAAGACTACGTGTGTCGTAGTATTATATTGTTCTATACAAGATCGGGCATACTAACCTACTAACATACTAACACATACATAAAATTTTACGTGGAATGCAACGTTCGTTAACGTTGTTTGACGTATTTGTGCTAGAACATACGTTGCTTGGAACAGTAACGCTAAAACTATAAAATTTGTCTAATTTTCTTCTATTGTTACCGTACAGTTTACAATTTATGCGCAATTTTCATTTTGTAAGTAATTATCAATAATAGTAGTCAGTAGGTTTAGTTAGGTACCTACCTACCTACCTAACCTACCTACCTACCTACCTACTAAACCTACCTAACCTACCTAACCTTCACCTATATCCTGATAATATTGAAAGATGGCATCATTGCGACATAACATTAATTCGTTCGTTGTTCGTTATTTCTGAAAATTTTAAATGTCAAATATGGTTACCCTAATATGGGATACACGTTCAGTATCTCTGCATTTTCTGTGCTAACTAATGTAAGGAAAACAACCGTGTGTTGTGATTATTTACGTCCTTGACCTTACACGCAATTTCTAACGAAGACTTTGTAAACTTTCCTAAATGTTATAATTAAAATTATAATAAGTTTCTGACTTAATTTTATCAATTGAATATACAGGAAAGTTAAAGTTTATTACACTGGATACAAAATGTGTGTAAGTATATAAATATGTATATAATACTAATAATAACGCTTGACAAAACAAACACATTGGTACACAAATTGCTACACAGTGACGAAAAAGCAAAATTTAAGAAATTTCAAACACCTGAACGTTCACTGTATTCTAGCAATTAAATAATACTTTATTACGCAATGTAACATGAGTGTAATATACATAAATCATATTAAATAATACTTCTACTGAATAAAACTATACGATTTTTTATTTCCACACGTACTAAACCATATATACATACATGTAACCGTCACAAATTTAAAAAAAAGAAAATGAATACTTATCTGTTGCTTTCGGTAGTTGTTGGCACATTGCACTAGAAGAAACTTTGTATTTACACGTTTTCACTAGAGGATAATTTGCAGAACATTATTACAACAATGTAATTAGCTAAGTGCTTACATTTCATATAAGAATCAATACCGATAACAACTCTACGTTGTATGGGTGTTACACGATAATACTAAGTCCAGGACTACTTACCTACCATGAGTGTTCAACACGTGGCGTATCCGGTTTTTTCCGCTGAAGAACTGCGCATTTTGAATACAACTAACCATAAGTTCACAAGTGTGGGGAACACGGAGTGACGCGCTCTCGGGCGCTCATATAGTTACATTGATACATACATATATACTTCACTGGAGAAAACGCAGTGCATAATACGCCACACGTAAAACACGCGTGTAGCCCTGGCCTAAGGATTAAAATATAGTTTAAAATACGCATGATATGCCGGCGAAACAACCATGTCACGTTTCAGTCTACTCTGCTAAGGAATAAGATAAGGCAGACTCCAGGGAAGTCGTTTTATATACGACTGAGAGAAAGGGGGCAGAGCGGTCGCGCGGATTGGCCAAGCTGTACACGGTCTCGCTGCTCATTGGCGGAAACTGTTGGGTCTTATCGGATCCGACGGTGCGTTGTGTTGCCATTGTGCGTTGTTGGGTCTACTATTCTACGTTTCAGTGCTACGTCGGAATTGGTTTAAAGGAGTTGGCTTGCCGCTCGTGGTCCTCGAATATCGGTAGTTATTACGAACTGGTTAGATCTTAAATCTCATCCGACACTACACAGTGTTGTATTCGCTATAGTGGGCATCAAATTCGTGCTTGGCAACACTGGACTTACGTCATTTGATGCAACATTGAGTTCTCACATTATCAACTCTGTTTTTGGCGCCATTTGCAGGCCCAAAGTTATGCTTTCAATCATTCTTCTCTCACATGAAGCTAAAGGATTATCAACTTCCGATGATTATAACAGATAAGGTATGTGGTACTTTATATTCTACTTGAATATTTTAGTTTAAAGTTAATCTCAAGTATTTTAGTGTAATAGCTTAGAATATAATTCCAATTATTCATTTAGTAAATGAAAATATAAGTTCTAAAGGTGAATTAATTAAAGGATTTAATTTTATTTACCATAACTGGACAAATAAATAAATTAACTTTTTTCGATAACTTCTTTCGGTCAAAGTGCAAAATAACTACTTCCTTTCCGATTTCAATAATTTTTTAAGAAGCTGTAAAAATTTATATTGTGGACAACTTTTTTTTTCTACGTAAAAACAGGCCGCTCCCGCTGTAAAAGTGCCCTCGACTGTCAAATAACTGATGATAACGGATCAATATTTATAGGGTGTTCTACTTAAAATCAGTACCATTGTTGAGATACATTTTTAATTTTGCTTTCGAAAAAATATTGAATTTCATTTTACCTTATAATCGCCAAAAATCATTCCAATCTGATTTCATTAACACATTGACGTAAATGACGTCTATAGACGTCCATTGCGTGTGCTTGTAAATGAAAACGACGTTTATAGCAGTCCTATATTTTTAGTATTATAAAACAATTTAAAAAATGTATATTACTATTGAATTTATTACCCTCTAAATCCTTTAGCCTTCTTTTAATAATTGTTGGAAAAAACCAGCTTTATGTTCAGAATGCTTTGAGCCTTATCATTTGCTTTATGCTACAAATGTTTCTTAAAATTAAATTTTATATCTCTAAACGAATTTTTGAATTTTTCATATGGTAGTAGAAACTGTTGTTTTTGTATCTTTCAATTTTGTGTTACATTAAAAAAGAATGTAAATGAAAATCATGTGCAAAATAAAATTGTTTATAAAAATATACCTCTTTTATTTTTTCCTGAATTCTTTTTAAAAAATATCGTTAGATACCAAAACGTCGATAGCCGTCTTTTGCGTATCAGAGAAATCGAAGCTGTGAAAAACAAATGACGACTGTAGACGTTTATCTTTTTTTAGGAAAATTTATTAAAAAATACAATAATTTTAATCTGTGAGTATGAAATCTTGATCGAACTCCCCAAGAACCAATTAATTGACAAAAAGAAAAAGAAGTGTGTTTTTGGAAACACTCACCGATTTCAAAATGAGCGTCAACGTGTTAAATACGGGAATGGAATACAAAACATCCCTTAGAACTTAAAACTTAAGTTACAAGCAACCAAAGTTATAGTAATTGATTTTACGTACATACCCTACAAACAGTAAGACCGAAATCGTCGCCCTTCACGCATCGACTCACCGACAACAATTACTACAATGAGGATCTTCGTTTCGTCACATCTGTATAGTTGTTGAAAAAAAATTGTTCAAAATATTGATTACCACAACATATTAAAAAAAGCTTGGAAACCAAAAAATAGTTTTTTTGTAACTTCACCCTTTTGTTATGTGTGAGTTATTATTAATATACATCATGTCATAGTTAATAATATGGATAATAAGATTAATTTTGCAAAAAATATTCAACATCAATATCAGAACAGTTACTTATAACTATCCATTTAACTATTTCAACTGAAACATTGTATGTTTATTATACAAATATTCTTGAGATAAAATATATAACTTTTTGAAATACATAGTATTTATAAAATTTTTCTTTAATATAATAATACTTTCACATTTTCAAAATATTTACATTTGTTTCCTTACGAAATAAATTATAAAGATTACAGAAGGAAATAGTAATTTAATAACAGTACTCTATTTTGTTGAAACTTCTATTGCTAACATTGTTTAACTATGTAATACAGATACAATTTTTCGTATAAGTTATTTCGCTATTTATACATAAAAAATCTTTAATGTAAATATTCTTTCTATAGAAAACAATAGATTCATAGAATCTAAATGTATTATCTATTTTCTGTTTGGCATCTCAATCTTAACATATATTCGTACCTCACAAATTACCATTGACATCATTACTCAGTCCGAAGTTGTTAAGAAGTTGACGCAAGAAATAGAATAAAAAGTTGAACGTGTTTCTTCCGACATACCAACGAAGAAGAAAAAAGAACATCAGTATTTACGATCGGCGTCTGATATTTGTTTGCAGGGGTTAATGACCGTTAAGAGATGGCGCCACTTATGCAGACAGGCTACCATAGCGCAGAAGAACCGAGCAGATACTCGCTGAGGGTTCTGAAACGCAGCGAGAAATCTGTTTCTCAAGCGGACCATGTGGACGCTTCGAAGATAAACAGAAAAGAAGATTTCCTTCGCTGTTTGGGGCTTCAAATGAAAACATTTCAGTGCGTGTACATCGCGTCAGACGGCGTGCATGACATTAAAGCCCGAAACAACACCAATGGGTTAAAGTTACGTAACTGTAGTGTTGTCATCCTGGGGGTAACGTGTCAAATATGTGGCAAGTGTTTTAAGTGCAAAACGGACGTGAACGTGCACATGGCACTGAAACACGGTAAATGTTCCGAAAAGAAGGAAACGCGATTCATACAAGGTAACAGTGAAGTGTGTCAAAAGTTTTCCGAGGTTTCACAATTTCAATCTGTCACTAAAAAAAATCCCAGGACAAGGCTTCGACTAATTCTAAGGATAGGCGATGAAGTCGTCACTGATATCAGCCTAAAACGTAAGCATTTGAAATCGAAAAAATCAATAAATACTGCTACGCAAACCGAACCGGATAATGTTACAAAATTAATCACGGAAAATAGTGTCGGCGAAAGTATCGATCACTCTGTATTCGATAATAGTCCTTGCCAGTGTTGCACAGCGACTATCCGTACAACCAGTACCAATCAATATGTAGCTGCTAACATTGTTGCAAGCGAGGAAAGCGCAGGACGAAATGACAGTTGCTGTATGGAAAGGTTAACGTCCATATCTGAAAAGGATAACGATACTACGCTAAATTCGGATTCGTTCACATCGGATTTAACAAATACGAAAGGAAGTAATCTCGTTCCACAATATGATAGGGAAGCAATGTGTTCTCGACAGGAAAATAACTGTAACGAGTCTTGTAAAAGAAAATCTGATTCTTTTAAATCAGTCACAGACGTTACGAAAACATTTGTTGATACTGTAACAGTAACATTCCAGTCACCGTCGACAGACATAAACGGAAACGAAAAAGTGAGGGATCGCAACGAAAAATTATCGAATTCATCGGACGTAATTAACACAGTAAAATTAATAATGCCGGTAATACTCCCTATAATCATGCCGAGTCAGGTATCCCCTAAGAGCCCCGAAGACCGTCCACTGGCATCTTCGCAAGCCCGCCTACCGAAGACCGGTTTCATCGACGAGCAAAATTCTGACGACGAAGTGCAGGAGGTTCTTCGAATCGTTCGTGGCCACGACAACATCGCCAGGGAAATTAATCATGAGTCACCGAATCGTTTGGAACAGGAGATTCTTGCACGAGACGCCATCAGAAACATGCTCAGACTAGAACAACAAGGTTGGCATCTATTAGAGAAGAGTGGGAATGAACTGACGAAAAAAAGAAAACGGACTGGCGGGAAATTTGACACCAAGAACGTCGTCGGGGACGAGACTGGGAAAAAGAAAACAAAAATCGTCGGTTCCGAGAATAATGTTGTTAAAACCATGAACGAGAGGAGCAGTTCGAAAGAGTCCTTCGCGAAGGCTCAAAAGCCGGGTCACGATAAAATGTCTATAGCAGAGAATGCGAAGGAGAATGTACTTATGTGTAATGGAAGCATTAATATTCCGACGGAAACGCTGCTGCATCATTATGGTATAAACTACTACAGCGACGTGTGCGAGATAAACAATAACACGGAGACAACGGTTCAGGAACCTGTTAGCGGTCTTTTAGCTAATAGACCGACTGTAATAGATCTAGTCAATGACACTGAGGAATAGAAAACGATCGAAACAATACACTAGGTGAACGGTACATGTAATGTTACAGGAACGTCGCTATCTTGTAAAGAGATTAGGTTTTTCAAGTTCAATTAACAAACTATAAATAGTTTTAAATAACAGGGAAGATCAGTGATCCAAATGTAGCTTTCGCGGCTAAAACTGATGCAATATGTAGGGGACAAGGGATATGCACAAATTCTAGGGTATGGCTGCAAGCGTTTAGCCATAGTTATGGAATGACTGAACATTATCTCTAGAAGAGTAAGGAGAATTATTCATTTATTCTGTAACTCTGACGGTTGGTCAATTATTCGTAAACTGAAAAGTCACAGGGGCAAGGGGACTCTTTGCTTACAATGTTTGGATTTGCCTAGGTGCCAATACCTGTTCGTTATTTGCCGCGTGGTAGTAGCGAAGGACGGAAACAAAACTGAATACTATATATCACCACTATGATACGAAGCGAATATTGACGTTGGATTTCGTTTCGAATTTTGTTCCCTACTATATTTTATGGAAGGACCGGATGTCGTGTATGGTCAATTTCCCTTGCTCTCATGTGACTTTTTTCACATCCGATATTAAAAAAAATTATATGTTTACTAAATTAAAAGCGATTCTTCAATAACTAATTTTGAAGATATAAACGACAATAAATAGTATGTTCTAGTAACATACAGGAGAAAAATAATATTCAATATTTTAAAAGCAGTAGATTCGAGAAGCCGTTTGCCTTCGCCCCTCTTAGTTTTGTTAAGAATAAATAAAGTAAAGTATCATTAGTTTAACCCTTTATATCCTGAAGGTACTTTAAACCACCATTTTCATTGTAGCGTTGTTAAAAACGAATGTTTCGAAGTACAATGAAGAAGTATAGTTTTGAAGTATAATCAACTGGTATAAACTGATTTGGTTTAAAGTATCTATCGTTATATGTATTTACGCGCAAATGATACTACAAATATTTATAAGATTCAGGACATAAAGGGTTAATTTCAGTACAAATTAAAATTAAAAAGTGGTTATTAACCGTTGTAATAGTTGAAGCGTTCAAGTGCCATTTTTTCCTTTTCTCTGTTTTCTAGTTATTTGCTGTTATGCTATATCAATTTTAAATGTGTCCAATTTTGAAAATTCTGATTTTCAATACTGAGTATTATATGAATGTTTTTTTATTAAAATATTCGTATTGAAAAATAATATTTTGCGGTTTGTACAACGTGAAAGTGAATAATTGCGCCCTGACATTTGTAGTGAGGGTAAAAAATTGTATTCAGTTTCGAAATACAATAATTATTTTGTTCAAACTGCATTGAGTGCACGTCTACGAAGACGCGTAACGGTAAAAGCTGCATGATATCAAAAAGGGTAACTACTTTTATACGAGGCTATCATAAATGCCAACTATTGTCTCTCTGAATTTGTTTCGGTGTTAAACAGCTGCTAAGATGTTACATTTGGTAACTTATTAGTTTTCATTATCGTCGTTACTATCAGCAATCTTATGTAATTTTATATTACACTATTTTAGTTACATTAATATAAAATTAATTTAATTTAAATTTACGAAAGTAGCTTCGTACGATTTAGCTATTGTGATTACACTGTATTATCATGTTATGTTATGTTACAATACTGTATTATATAGTTCGGTGATACATGTATTATTATTACTTACCAAATTTGTAGAATATTATTTATTTAATGTTAATTAATGAAATTCCGCCTTTGCAGATACTGCTTAGTGAAAACGATGTTAATATTGATTGATGTGTTGTGTTGTATGTGACGAATATGCGAGTATGTGTGGAACGTAATGTATAGTTTTCCACTTTTATACCCTTTTGTAATAAATGCTTATAAAATGAAAATATAACTGCGTTTCATTTTGGAAAGTGGAAACTTTTATAACCTCGATTCCGCTTTTCGAAACAATTTTATAAAATCGATATTTATTGCAATTAAACTATGAATTTCCGTTGTAAATGAAATTTCTTTGGTATAATTTATAAAAAATCAAGTTAAGTGAGAATTCAACACATTCACATTAAGGTAACACTAATATCAATTGTGTTTGATTGTATTTAATTGTATTTGATACAAATGCATAAATATTTATAAATATGTGTTATATTATATTTATAAATATAATGGTTATAAAAAAATCAAAGTTAATATTTAAATACATAAGTAAAAGGATCAAAATATAAATATATTTCCATCAAATAAGCAAGAAATCACAAAGTTTTATATGGAAAACGTGTTATTAAAAGACAAATTATGAAAATATACAATATTGCTTTCGTGTAATAGTAAAACGGAAATATTGAAAAATGATAATTCAACTCAGTTACAACAATCGAACTGAGGAACGAAAACTAGAACGCATATTTTATAAGATGCTTGCTCCCTTCTCGAAGGTGCTCTATTCCTTGTGCTTTCCGAAGAATTACGAAAACAAACTACGGGCATTACAACTTGAAGGTTTTATGAATATTTGCTAAAACATATGACACATGAGTGCTAAATACTATTGCTTGTATTTAATAGTTAACTTCATCATAATTAAATGTAAATTATAATAAAGTATCACGAGATGTATAGTGAAAATTTGAATGAAGAAAAATCAATTATAATTCAGAGTCGTATGTTAAAACAGATTACATAGTACATTATCATTTCAAAGTTCTAATTTTATTTTTGCAAATTTGTCTAAAACTATGAATTTACATTAACATCCATAATGTACATACGATATTACTGAAAAATTAAAAGTTAAATTATTAAAATTAACTCTCGAATGACGATTTTAAAGATTTACCTATTATAATTTAGCTTCTTACCTATCTACGCCTAATTTGCGTTCCAGTTGACTGTACATATCAGACTATGAACATAAGAAGATCAACTCATCTCGTTGGACTACGTTTGAGAAAATATCTCGAAAAATTAGTAAATAACGTTTCGAATAGTCCGAAACTTCGCTATTTACGAAATCATTGAAAACACCCGCCATTGAAGGGTTAATATGTATTAAATTTAAAATAGCATTTAGAAATACCTATATATACCGAAGTACCATTTACAAACATATACTAATAATACTGGAAGTTTAATTTGAAATTAACGCTGAATCTACTGTATGTTCATCTTTTACTGTAATGAATATTTCAAAAAACCGAAAGAAATATATTGCTACAATTTTCATAACGATTCATAACGCTAATTAATCATATTAAACGCTCGATAGTTCTAGTATTAAATATTAATCGGGACTGTTCATTTGTCACCATATTCTTCTCCCGCAGCTTTCACCCTACACGACTTACCGGTTTTCGAAGGGGATGTAAGTGCTGCACCGGTTCCGGTAGTTCCTGCTGGATCAGCGGAAGTTTAACGGCCGACTCATATAGCCCGTGAAGGGGCGTATGTATGTCACGCGTGAAATTCAAGGCACAATTGAACTGCAAGACGAAGCAACGCATTGCACGGCTGCCCGGCACGAACTGATAAGACTGGAGAACCGCGTGGCTCTCCACCTCTCTTCAAGGAGATTCGATCTTCCTTTCCATCTTCCGTCATCGGAGAGAAGAGACAATTGCGCGCGGCCGCGGGGTTGGCCCTTCGTGCACGCGGAGAAAGGAGTTCGATCTGCATTTTATGCGGACGTTGTTCGAATCTAAGTGACTTCAAATCAAGTTTTCGCCGGAGAAAAATGTTTTTATGGAAGAAAATACGTGAAATATACCTGTTCTGTCTATGCGGTGGGTACGTTCTGCGTGGATCCGTTTTACGCGACTGACGATCGCGTAAATAGTCTGTCAGTGCAAAAGAAAACGAAATATTGGGGAGAGAAGGCGACGTAAGTTTTAGAAATATATATCCATTTTACGTAGCTTAATAAAAAGGTAATAACAATTGACATTCCAGAAAATAAAAGCTTATTTTATTAGGTGTCACTAAATAATTACCGCGTAAAATAGAGACTCGCGTAAAAAACTTCGCGATCATCGTCGCACGTTTGTGACGTTCAACATTTTGACAGGCAACTACAAACACGATTCGTTGTGTTTAACGATATATTGTAACTACATACGAAAATTGTCATTGAAACTATTTTTAAAAGCTATTGTTAAAAGTTACTGTGTTCGGTGTAACAAATGCCGTTAGGATGTGCGTTAACACGTTGATTGCCACGAGAGCGTTGCCTTTCGAGCGTTTCGTATCGTAATACTTATCGTTTCATGACAAAAGCAAATGGTATTAGAAATATTCTTAATAATTTAATTCTTAAAATTAAATTCTCAAAATTTAAAAATTCTTAATAATTTAGTATCACAATACATACTGCGCTATTATCAAGCTACTTATGTTACCAAGTACTTTTACTCACCATCAATATTCTTATTATAATTAATAAGATAAAATATAAGCAATTTAGGAGCTTCGGTTATCGGTGACCACCATGGCAGTTACCGTTTTAATGAAAATATTCGGACACTAAGGCCGCCCGTATTTGTCATCTTTTTATCACGTACTATACAGAAAATAAATGCGTGCTTCAATGTTTGCGTGACTCGCTGTACGTGTCACTTTTAGAGCTTATGCTCATGAGCGATGCGATCTCACTGCAGTGCCACAGCGATTATTTTGAAGCAACGGAGAAACAAAGTTCTTCTATCTGACAGAAAAAGGATAAGAGAACTTTGCGTCTCTGTTCTTCTAAAATCGCACAGCGTTAATGCTGCGGCACCGCGACGGGATCACGTCGCTCGTGTGTCTAGACTTTTATCGATGAATTTAAACGCTGTGGTTTCAATACCTCTTACAACAGACTGTGGAGGGTTAATTTCCCTGTCCACAAATGGCTGCATGTCTGCACCTGGAATTGGAAATCAACATACTGTAGAAACTATAGCCGACAACATGAATTTCTGGTTGCATTTAAATGTATTAAAGCATCATTTGCGTGCATCGAGTGGTGGTAAGACAGACGGTCATGGGGGCTGAGCAGGATGTACGCCCTTCAAAGTTTGCAATACTTCAAAGTTGTATAAAAAAATGCAGATACCCTCCGGCCTCGTTTTACACGAGAAATCATAGTCCTATATACCCGTAATTATTATTACACGATAATTATAACTGAGCCGTTTGTTTTGAAAGTGGTTTAAGTTTCCATTTTTCAAAAAACTCAAGTTAATCGTTATAATGGTAACAATTCTACATAATCTTTTTATTCTTTAATATATTTTTCATCTTTTTTAAGTGGATTTAAGTTACTTTCAAAATAAACGGTTTAATTATTGGACACACCGTCTTCTCCAAGCTCTTGCGGAGAAAAGTGTTACAATGATTTTGGTAAACAACGTTTCTTGTGAAAAATATCGAATTTCATGTTACATTAATAAATTTTACAATTTATGACACTATTTCCGCGGTATTGTTTATACGCCGTTTGAATTTAGTGAAATTAAAACATGAAAATATATTTTTGTTTTTTGAAGTGTCATTGTTAGGTCGTGAGTGGAGTATATGTTTCGTTCAAGCTTTTTATTTTTTACAAGTATCTTTATTTATTAAATGTGTAAATATTTTAACCAGAATATAATAAATTTTTACGTTAAAGCGGAAATGAAAAAAATAAATAATAATAATATAAAAAAAATTTTAATGGAATGTTCATAGAGAAAATATTCTAGTTTCGATACTCTTCTTTCAAAATTCTATATGCTGTGTTTAAAATATTTCTCATACCATTCAAAATAAAAGACGTATTTAGTCTTAGATTGGACACCCTGTACAATTACCGATAGATGAATTAGATTTTTTTTGTAACATGAGTTATTCCAGTGGAGAAAGTAAATCTGCACTAAACCGCATAAACTTGAACACTTTCTTTGTTGCACAACCGTTCGCCGCATTCAAGTGCAATGGCGGTCGTTGTATCATTGCTCTTACAAAAAGCCGAATAATTAAACGTACCTAGTTCGTGTTTAAGGAGCTTCAATGCTTCAAACTGATATCGAGTTGCCCCCCGACATTTTTTTTTATTCAATTCACGATTTAATTAATTCTTTTAGTTTAAACGTTACACATTTAATTTAAAATCTTTACAGTAGAACGGTGATTATTCGAACCGATTGGGTGACAAATCCATCCGGATAAATGATGTTTCGGGTAATCGCCTTGAAAGAAACAAATTTGTGAACATAAATTAATTAGAAATTAAACAGTTTATAAATATAGTTTTACTATATTCGTATACACTCAATAATATTTTATTTATCCTCAAATTTTATCACTACTATATATTTTCCATTTAGCATTTATAATAAAAATGAAATCTAATCGTACACATTAATCTTTTAGCTGCGCTAATAGATACTTTTAATCTAAATGTATGATAAATCCATAAAAAATTAAAGGTTGATATTTTTAGTATTTTATGTTATTTATACTAATACATATGGCTATGTGTTATATAAATGGCATTATTTTTCTTCGAAATTTTGTTATATGATAAGAAATTTACTTTTAAATTTAAATTTAATACAAAAATATTGATTCAAATATATTCTAACGTCGTAGTAAAAACAAAAAAAAATCTCAGACAGAACACTAAAATGGGACACTCGAAGCGGGAAGAATATGTGTTTTAAAATCTGAACATTGGCGGGCACGTACTTTCATTCGCATAATCGAACATTTGCATAATTAGTGCTTGGATAAATGACGTTCCACTGTATATCAAATTAACTTCGTAGACTCGTGTGTAGTAGACATTCTACTTTTAGAATTTCGTGTTTGTAATCGAAACTGCGATCTTCCATACAAACTGACATCCCAAAGCCCAATTAATTATTTTATGGACAAAATATAATTATTGTTTATATAATAATTTTATATAAAATTACTAAACAAATTTTTCTGTCGAGGAAAATAATTACATAATGTAGTGGAAACTCTATAGAAGTAAAATATCCCAGATAATGATTAAATAATACAAATATCAATGGAAGTTTACCAGTATTCATCGATTTATTTCCTCGATTTTTAAAAATAAACTTGGTACAATAGTATGCCTTCATAATCAATTCAAAATGTAACAAACGATATTATTATTAATTTCACGTGTAACGTTTTTAGTATAGTATCTCACGAAACAATATGACAATAATTAGTATTATTATTTTATAATACTTGTCTGCGCTTTCCAAGCACAATTTCATCATTTCAATAAATCACCTATTAAAAGGAATAATAATAATAGAGACCTAAGCACGCATTACACAAATAAAATCATGTAGTATATTCATGTATGATCAAGAGCAATTGCGCGAAACGGTTAAAAAATGAAGCGACACTATTTATTTACAGAACACAGAGTGTATACTTGCGTGCTTCTATCGTATTTGTTTAAGCATGACCAGATATTAGCAGGTATGTATTCGTTAGCAGCCTGGTTCACAGTGACGAACGATTGGAAATTACAGATCAGTGAGTGAAGGGGTGCATTGCTCGTGGCGATGGTGTGTTCACGTGCAACGATATTTCCGCCTATTTGAAAAGTTATCATTAGATCTAATTGTAAGACATGCAAATGAGCAAAAGAGAAACAGATAAAAATATTTGTAAAACTAGGTCCCTTGAATGTACAGGCTAAAAGAATCCCTGATGGAGATATTAATTCTTTGTTTTCAACATAGTTGTCACCTTTTAATCTATAATATCGTTTCAGGCTCGTGAAAAAAGTTTCAACTGAATTCGATACATCTGAATGCCATAAAAATCTTTGTTTTAATATAAATTGAATATGAATTTTCTATCATCTGTAACATTATTAATTACGTTTCAACATAATCGTTAATCTTTGCAGTAAACGTTGACACAGGATAAGTATCAAATTCTTTTCTACTTCTAATGAAGTATTAACGATAAAGTAGTTTCATCAAGCACAGCTGTGAAAGAAATCATAGAACAAGGGGTCAGGCACCATTTTCGTGAAAGCAATACTATTTTTTCTATAAGTTCAATTTTATTTCTATTTTATTTCAAGTTTAACTTAATTTGAAATACCACTATACCAAGTTGTGCCTTAACCACTTACGGTGGCAACGAATTCAGTGACATAACAAAATCTCGCGCGAAAAATTTTGTCTTCACCTATCATATAGATACAGATATACACTAATTTTGTTTATTAATATTTTTGTACAAATTGGTAGATTTCAAAACAATTTGGAATATGTAATCCAATAAGACTATTGACGTGTGTAATATGTAAATATCTAACACAAGGTACAGTTCGGTTCTTTTGAGCTGAGCCTCGATCTTTGACTAAGTGGAAAACGCCCATTTTCTGGACAAAACTCAATAACTTAAAAAGTGTAAGCGATAGAAAAAAATGCTTCAGATAAAAGTTGTAAGGTACAGAGCTAAGCATATGGCAGTTTAATTGGTCGTTTATGTGATCGACTCGCCATACAGTACCTCCATAAAACTCTAATTACTTTGGGACATTTTCAATCCTCGGTGCGGTACATTTGATGATTAGTCATTATCCCCAATTACATTTCATCACTCGCTTTGCCCTGAAAGAAAGATTTCCCCAATATTACAAGTTAAGGAGGAGGCCTTAAAGATTTTTCTCTTTCATGGTAACAAAGTAACAAATAACAAATAGTTCATGGTTAACATTTTAATTTTGTCATTTAAGAGGCTTCATAATATCTCTGTAATGTAAAAATAATGTGTATAAATAACATTTATACACATTTTTTAAATATATTTATTAAACATTAATAATGAATACAAGGTAAAAATATAAATACGTGGGAATCCCGGAATGTCTATAGAGCGAACTTTGACCTCCTAAACAGTGGTTATTATTTATTGACTTCTAAAATAAAATCATTTTGTACAAGACGGACCATTTGGAAATTGGTAATCTTCAATTTTCATTATGCCAATGGTCGGATTTTTAGATTTTGTCCACAGACGACCGTACTATGTGCCGCGTCAAAACGAAATCAGACGCTAATGTTCGTACACCCCACTTCGTCGCATTCCGTTTCGCTTGCGTTCTTTGTCGTGCGATTCGGCTAATAACAAAGCGTGCCGAAATGAAGTCGCCATAATAACCGGTCCGAGCACGACCAGTGAACATCTCCCGTTGACCTTCTACCCTTACCTACTTATGGCCGTAAGATCGAGAATCAACTCAAAACAGGTGAACTGTAACTATGTAATTATAGAATGTTATAATTTAGGGCATGAAGAGTTATTACGACTCTAAACTATTCTCCATTTTTGTAAACAGATAATTGGCAATGTAAATTTCCATAAATAGCTACCATCTAGTCAGCATTCAGCTCTCCTCCTTCTTCACGTGCACTTTTGTTCTCTTTAATTCCTGAAATTGTTTGAGACATTCTTCCACTGCTGAATGTAGGCCATCCTCGGTTTTCTCGAAAACTAATTCCAGAGATGCGTAAAGAGTTTCCAAATCAAGACAGGACCAGGCTTCCGTTGCTGTGGTAATTTTCTGAAGCAACTCTTCCGATTGGGAATCGTTTAATTTCTCGTTACTCGATGCCGACAAACTTCCAGCGGAAGTGTTTCTTGAGCGTTTCGGTAACGGTCCTTCTCCAGAAGCGCTTGTCTTCCTCTTGATATTAATTTCTAACGATCGACATATTGTTATTAGGCTGTGACTTTTATACACACATATCAATTTTAATTAACTAATTCATAGAAGTTATAGTGAGAATAAAGAAATGATTTGATTGTATTGGAAGGTTTATCATACAGTAATAGTAACAAAAATAATTTATTTAACTTAAATTTTTCAAATAAATTATATATATATAATATAAATAAAGGAAAATAAAAAATAAATAAATCCTATAAACATTAAAAGTTTAGTGGCATTAAGGGAGCATATTCGTTTGAAATCTCGAAAGAACGTTTCTCGAATCTTTTTTGTCCCAAGCACTTGATAAGTTTTCTAAGTTTCAAAAATTATTTGGCATATCGATTTACCAAATTCGATCTATAAAGCATATCTATATTTGTGTGCATTCAATTCTTTTTCGGCTGTCTTCTATTGCAAACACTACATGTGAATTCGTTTTAAAAGGACATTGTTAACATTGTTTCTTATCACTAGTTAAAATTTCATAAGAAAAGGTTGTCAAATTTCTTTATCAATAAAATAAAACACAATTTCTTATAGTTAATTTTCCATGATTAATGGAAATTATGTATTCATCAATTATTTTTCCTGTTAACTTTCCATGTGCTTTTTTCTGTTACGAAGGGGTTACAGAAGTATCCAATAATTTTACGAAGATATCCAGATTCTAAAAGAAAGCGGTGAAAATTTCTATATATTTGAATATGTCGAAAAAACAAGCACGTAAATTAATTTTTTCAACTAACTGATTCTAAAAAAATGGATATCTCATTAACGTTTTTTACGTACTGTACTGAGTATAAAACAAATAGAAAATGATAAAGAGTAAAATCCGGAAGTTAAGTAGAACATAAGATAAAGAATTGTCGTAACTTGTGAGTCTATGTTTCAATTTGTATATTTCAATTACTTGATTTCCTACTTGTTAATTGAGTGGACCGTACGGTGCAGAGTTTATTACGAGTTTTCATTCCAAGTTTCGGCCTCCGTGATAATGACGCATCTTCTATTGTTGTTGTGAAATAATAATATTACATATCGCCATTGCCTTCTAAATAAATTGAATAGGAAATCGCTGGATCGCTTACGTGTTGTTGAATTCTCCGAACAATTAGCTTGCAAGATCGATTTCCGCTTCTTTCCTCCCTCCTTGGCCTTCTTTGGATGCGTTTCAATTTGCCTATAATCTACTGTTCATATGGCAAGTTAATTAACCAAATTAGTCTAGGTACTGTCAACATTAATTTTTGGTAACCTTTCCGTTTATCAAAAAAGACTTTTCTTTGAAGCAACTTCATGTGTTTGTGAGTATTCAGAATATTAATAAATAATTCCTACATTAAACAGTTGTCCTAATTAAATTAATTTATCACACACAATAATTCAACATAAAATAGTTACAGATACCTATTTAGTAACAGACTGCAAATTTTCCTGCAAAATTTCGTCTGAGTAAATTATAATTTATAAAGAGGTAAATTCTATCAAACAATTGAAACATTAAAATTGTTTTCGTTTCCAATTTTCTATAGGTTTAGTATTCATAAAACGCGCTAAAAAGAATCTTAATACCATTGTATAAGTATATAGATTATGAAAATTGTTGTGAAAGAATCTGCAGTATAGTTATTCAGTTCTCTGCGATTGATCGCTGCCATACCTTGCGAAGATTGATTTGATTCAATATCGTCTGCCGAATGGATGAATAATTGTTTGAAGAATGATTCACGTTCCTGCTCTGCCGGTGGCACAATTTCAAACATTTCGCCTCGATGCTTGTCGAATAGAGAAGCGACCTAACAATGGAGTTCAAAAGATATCGTGCTGTAAGGAATCAATAACAGTTGTAATTACGTCAAATGGTACTCGATATAATGATCTTTTAAAAATTTCTACAAATTTTTTATTTCATTTTAGCGTTTTAATTTTTCCTGTATAATCTAATCCGACAATAGTTTCTTTTAGCATTTTCTTTTTTAGAATTATTGTATTTGAAAAGACATTATTAATTAATGACAAGAAAATACACATCAAAATAAGAAGCAAAAATATTAATATCCTTAAAATAAAAAGAGTTATAATTTCAGTAGTACTATTGCGTATTTCTATATATTATAAGCAAATATATAGTGTATATTTCGTATATCATATATTATAGATAAATATTCACGGAACATTATTCAGAAATAAAATATGTGTAATCCCCCATTTTGTATTTAAAATTAAATACGTTTTTAATCTTTGATAGTAACATCTCTTACGTCTTCTGGCAGTTCTTTCACTGAACAATTCGCTGTGGTCAAAATTAACATATACACCGATCGATCTAAACCCTGCATTAGAGATGTAAACACGACTCGAGCTGCTTCATCTACTAGCTCCCACCATGCTAAGATATCGGGAACGTAGAGCAAGGATGGTAAACTCCGTCGAGCCATCTTCATCTTCTAATTATTCAATCGATAACAGAATCTCATTTAATATAACAATTAGTCTTGAGAAAAGAAGGTTATAGATAAAAGTATACAAGTTATAGATAGTTATAGAAAACGGCATTAATAAATGAATGTTACTAGAATCTGTGTTGCGGACGAAAAGATTGAAAATTAAAATAAAATTAACATTCGAAATTTCGTATTTCGTCATATGGCAACGTGAACATAAATTAATATTCTTTTAATCGTAAAACATTGGAAGCTAATAGTATTAAGTTTATATCATGAATAACAAATAAAAATGATTAGGTACTTAAGTTCAAAATACAACTACATAGTGCAGATCGATTTATGTTTAACTATACGATCAAATGGATGCTAACTTGCTAGCAAAATTAAGAACTGCATGATTTTCAATTTCAGAAATATTTAGTTCATCGGGTCAAAAATCCATTGTATCTAGTTACTTGAATGATGGCTTCTTCTGCAGCTTTGCCAGTTTCCTCGAATAATGTCGTAACGTCTAACACATGACAAGGGAGGTGTTCCAAAGTATGAAGCAATGCTGGTCCCAGATGACGAGTGTGGGAGTCATCGTTGCCGCATAATAAAATTCTCGGGCAGCTGGTCGATCTGGATGGAGCTCTGCCAGTGCTGTTAAAAAATGCCTTGAAAACTTTTTAACTCTTTATAGTCACTGATTGTTCAAATGTCTATACAACCCTGTAAAGATCGAAACAAACTACATTTCTCGTGGATTCTCTTAAACAAATGTATAACAAGTCAAAGTAACTTCGTTACCGCGAGTAAACAGTTTCTTACATTTTAGAAATCTATTTCTTACGTGTATACAGGTTTTCCTATTGTAATCTATAAATGCAATTATTTCCAGAACTGTATAGTATATAATATATAATAATAATTTGTCTAATAAAAACATTATACTAAATATATATATATATTATATTTAATAAATATGTTATATATTACATTATAAAAAAGTTTATAGTCCAAATAAATGTTTTTATAAAACAAAGAGGTATACTAAATCTGTACCGATTTTCATAAAAATTTCTAGTTTGCTCAACTTCATTCTGTAGCATTTGCTATAAATGATAAAGATTCGCAGTCCGTACAGAATCAATCTGTGAAAAGACATCTCTAAATCTTAGCATTGTTATCGTCGTCGTTACTTTTCATTATTCATTATTGACCACATCCCCAACCTACATTTTCAGAATTCATCAGAAATTGATTAGCAACGCGCAACTGGGAAACGTCAGCTTAGCGTTTGACATGATTTATCTAAGAGTAGTTCAAGTGGATTGTGACCTAATACTCACATGACGTCGCAGATTAACATTCCTGTTGGGCAAAGGATCTCGAGCTGTGACAGAATGCGTGACAAATTATCTTGTAGCAGAGGCTGTATCTTAAACGACAAAGATTTCACAGGCGCGACCGAAACGCGGTGGGACGCTGGTACGATGTTTTGTCTAGCCTTCAGAAAATCTTGTTTCTCGACCTATTATGAAAACGTTTGTGACAGAAATTCTGACGATTCAAGTGTAAATATTTATACAAAAATATAGATTCTTAAAAAGAACGAATTCTATATAGATTCTTTTACAAAGACAGAAACAACCAATAAAAATAAAAATATCATTACTCATTAACCACGCGTTTTATAATGCGCTTCACAAGACTACTTACACGAGAGTTATTTTATTAATCTCATACCCTATAATATTTCATATTATAAGAGTCACAATTCTTTCAAATCCAAATTAACACTAGATTTACGGAACCCGTCAATTTGACGGATATTGATTTTTTTAAACATTATTTAGTAACAGTTTCAGTTGATCTTGATTCGTGCAATTATGCGAATACGCATTGCAATACTCTAGTTCTGAAGTTACAATTTCCGCGATTTGTATATATGAACAAGTAATTTTCTAGAAACAATAGAATAAAATATAGAACAAACGTCCGTAAATCTAGTGTTAAATATTACTTTTCTATTATCATTGGTGATGCTTCAAAGTAAACGTAGACATAGAATGAGCGAGGAATTCTTTTCTTCTTCTAGTGAATTATTATGAAGGATAAAATAGTTCTGCCGAGCGCAATTGTAAAAGAAATCATAGTGCAAGGGGTTAAAAATAATTATTAAAAATAATTTTTTAGTAGGAAAAGAAGTTACTTATTGTTACGTCTATGATTACTTTAGAAGTTCAATATTCATAAGAGCAGAATAGTATTCGCATTCAATTGACGCGGACATACAAATATACATGTTTATTAAGTTCAATTTAGAGTCTGCGGACGTGTTGCATCGAATACTGTAAGACACGAAACAATTTTTCTACGTTGAGTTATCAACAATTTTTACTATAAATGCATAAAATATATTGTTCTATAAGAATAAAAAAACTGCATACTTGTCTGTCTAAGGGAAACAATTTCAGTGCATACGAAAGTTCGTATTATAAGATTTTTAATTAAAAAATAATTATTTGCAATCTTTAACCCAAAATAATAATATTCAATTTTTTAATTTTATCCTGGTAATTAAGGATTAGCTATAATTCTTGATTTTGCGATGTCGTAAATGTAAAATTTTCATTAAATCATTCCATTGGTAGTAAAAGGGTTAAGGTAAATTAACTTTAAATAATTCTTGTCATTCTTTTAATTACTTTAAGGTGCCGTTCGCTAATCTGGTATTTCGCTTTCGAAGTGTATATTTCCGGGTAATTCCTTCGAACACAGCACATGACAGCTTCAGCGCATAGTGCTTGCAAATCGCTGCCGCAAAAACCAACCGTCTTTGACGCTAGATAAGCCAGAAACTTCTGTGGTGGTTTGTGCTTCCAAGTTTTAATGTGCACCTAGTACCATGTATAATATCAATATTTCAGAAGACTGTTATCCTAAAAAAATAGTCGTAAATTTTAGTTATGTATAATACACTTTTTTAAAATGAATCTTCGTGTTATATATTTTGATGGGCATTATCGGTTTTTAACGTTATCTTTCCTTATGATCCATTGAAATTTATCTAGCAGTGACAGTATTTAAAGAAGCTCATTCCTATAGTTTGAAGATACTCAAAACAATTCAAATAGTACTTGAATCGATTGCAATAGATGAACGCAACACCGGCAGAATAAAGAATGCTGAAAGAATTGTTCAAAGAAAAGCTAATAAAGTTTTTTAAATCATTTCTACGAGAAAAAAAAACGTATTCGATATGACTCTAAAATACACTATTAACTGTGAATATCATATTTTGCTTTTACATGTGAAATCTATATAGTAATTGCCCGATGCAACATGTTAAAACTCAATCGTCCGATTTACTTGAAACTTTGCAAATATATTCATTGAGTGTCCCTTTACCGTTCAAACCAAAACTAAATCAATTTTCCCAAAATATGAATATAATAATTTAAAGAATAAGTAGTAGCAATCTTTTCACAAAACTCGAAAATTTGTTTCCATTTTATTTCTTTTTTCATTGTGATCATAACGGCTATCATATCTGTCAGGAACAATTCTTTTCTCGAAGTCTTCTCACAGAAATGATATAAACATATTGTATACCTTTTATACAGTAGATATTAAGCAGAATTTTTTAAAAATGCTAATCTTCGTTTATGTATCTATGGCATTATGTTTTAAAGTGTATCATATCCAAGAACACTTTTAATAAAGAACATATTTTCTTTATTTTTAATCATTTTTACTATCTTTTTTATTATTTTAGAAATTATTTTGCTAATGATACAGAATTTATTATAAGTATTAAATAGAAGCTATTTTGCCCACGTTTCTGGAGAGAAACAGCAGAAAATTGCTCGCGACTGGAAAGTTAATAACATACAATCTTCTTTAAAAACTATTACCAAAAATCAATTTACTTATTTACTGTCACAGTAGAAACTGTTTAAAGAACTATTTCCATTAAAAAATGTTCATTACTGTCAACCAAATAATGGCATGTTTAAATTTTGAGTAAATAAAATGAGATGAACTAAACTGAATCAAAATAAAATAAGTGTATAATGTACTCGTAGCATAGATTACGAATAGAGTGAAAACAGTATCAGACACCGTGCAGTTTACCACAATGATAACTACATGAATCTAAATTCGTCGGTTCTCTTTTAACCCCTTAACTTGTACGCTCGAGTTAATTCGAGCGCGCTAAACAGGCGAAACTGTGAAAATAACAATGTGAAAGCAAAGAAAAAAAATCGTTTTATTGATATTTATCATTTACATGGGATTGTAAGCTGTAACACTTATTTATTCGAGAATAAAATATAGCCTTCTTCCATGGAACAAAAGCGCAGTATATCAATATTGAGTTTTTTTGGCCGGTTTTTTTAAAAAAAAAACTGTGCGTTAAGGGGTTAAACCACCCAGTGTAGGTGTGTCGATAATAAAAAGTAATTATTCTATGGAACTAACGATACCAAAAGTATTTCCTTTCTCGCATTGTAGCATGGCAACGGAAAGTATAACTCTCTGTCAAACCGACCGGGCCTCCTTAACGCTGGATCTATAGCATCGATTCTGTTCGTTGCTCCAATTACTATGATCTCTGAATTGTTCTCCAAGCCGTCCATCAAGGCCAAGAGAGTGGAAACGATACTGGCATGCACAAAGTCTTGTCGGCTAGATCTTACGGGTGCCAACCCGTCGACTTCATCGAAAAAGATGATGCAAGGTTTTGATTGTTGAGCCTGGAAGATTTATTTCCAGGAAAAGTATTCCGTTATTAATTCATCGACTAATTCATGAGCTTTGAGACTAACATCAATTTGTGCAGCACCGCGGGAAACACTAAACGTATTGTATGTTTTCGCTATCGAACTGTTTCTACGATGTAACACTGTTTCCGTAGAGATTAACATATTTACTATAATTGTCACATAAATGTGTACATATTTGTGACAGTCGAGATTTCGTATTTTCTATGAAAAGGACTGTATCTTTAAAAAACATTAGAACATAGCATGTTTTACAGAAATTTTTCGTATTTCTATTCATTTGTTGTAGTTTCAATGCAATTAGATCCCATTGTACCATAATTGAAAAATTCGTATTAAAGATTTCATCATTTTCACATTGTCGTAGACCCCATTGATGAATTTGCGTCAGTCTCTCTTATGTAAGCCTTCGTGATTTCCCAAATAGGGGTAAAAGGACATAAAGAAGAAAAACAATTTAATATAACATTGAATATTCAAAAGACCCCAGCAGTTACTTTCCCGCCATTCTCTGATAAAATTTGAGTATCCAAGATGTTTCCAAATTGTGTGTATTTATTATCATAAGCACCTTCGTAAAAAAAACTATTTCGAGTAATCGACAGTAAATAAAGTATTTTTAAGAGACATATCTATTTTAATTCGAGTTTGAAACATTTTCTGGCTAACATCATCAAGTTGATTATTTATTTCAGTTTATCTTATTTAAATAATAATTATTGAAATATATTTACCAATGAGAAAATTTTCTGAAGTTTCTTTTCGCTTTCACCAACCCATTTACTGAGACAGTCGGAACCCTTACGGGATATGAACGAAACTTTACGTTCCGAGTTGCTGCACTCTACAGCCAAGGCGCTGGCTACGAGAGTCTTCCCTGTGCCTGCGAGACAGAGATCGTCACTCGAAAATCACATTTTCTATTATACTGCGTGTATTTAACACGTTTGTGGACAACTATTGCATATGTAGCACTTTAGCTTTGTTCTGGTGGATCACCACTGTATATTCAGTACATTATCTTTTTCTAATTTCTATAATCAGATAGAAAAACTTATGGTATTTGGATATTATATGGACCATCTTTATTTCCTAATTGAAGGTCACGCTGGTCAGTCATTCGGATTAGGTCTGGGTTATTTATTACTCTTATTTATTACACTTCGTGAGTTGTAGCAAAATGTCAAATGAAAGCTTGCTAAAAAACTGAAACAAAACAGGCCAATTCCTCAGTGGATTAGAATGCGTACTAGCAACACAATCCGGTACAATGCTAAGAGGCGTCATTGGAGAAGAACTAAATTGAAGCTGTAAATTTCTTCTAATTTATGTTTGCTTCAATTTCCTTACTATATTTTAATTACTGATTCTTAAATAAATTTAAATTAAATAAAATTTATTAATTAGTAATAATTTATATTAATAGTTTATTCATTATATATAACATATATATTTATTTCTTATAATTCTTAAATAGAACCCTCTGCTTTCTATTCCATATTTTTGAAACTCACATACAGAAGCTTTCAAATCATAGAAATGAAATTTTTCGAGTAACTCGTTATCAATATGTCAGCATCCAAATTTGCCGGTTTGCCGGTAGTGATTAAGAATTGTGACGCAACAGGACGTGTCAAGGTCACGTCACGGTCTAATATTTCCCGCCGTGATATATAGTATTTTATACCCTGTAATTTTTGTTTATCACCATATATATATGGTGCAGTAAAATCCATTTTAAAAAAGCATTCACCAAAGTGCATGAAAATCATTTTACAAAAATATTAACACTTAGACAACCGCTTAAAATAAACTATAACCTTTTTAATTAGCTTTAATTGAACTCACTTAACCGACTGTGTTAAAAACTTTGTTTTATAAAAGCAAGAAAGTTATTCGATGAACTGCAAATAACTCCAGTTCAAGATTTGTGAATCAACAAAAGGAAATAATCTCTTTCTCTGCTAATTCGTGCAATACTCAGGCGTATCTAAGCCAGAACATTTTCTGGTTCATTTTCCCCACTCTTTCCACAGTCACAATTTTTTCGCTAAGCTTCAGGTATGTTAGCGAATCCTAGTGTCCGGCGTTAGTAGAATTCCTCCAACTAGTAAATAACTGTTGTATACTGCGAGAATTAGGTGTCGGTCAATAGTAGAGGTACTTGGGTATGCATAATTTAGGGACAACTTCCAGAATATTCCTCGATATTCTCTTGTACACAATTCCTAAAATAAGCGAAGAAATAGGGACACGATTCGAAGAGTTTCAGCCTACCTAGAATTTTCAAAATTTCTATACATCCCAGTAGCTGCAGGGATGTCTCGATTGTTTCCAGGTAGAAATTTTTCATTTATGATTTCCAGGAGAATAGGCTAGGGCTTCTCGTAAAATCATTTAACACGTGTCAGAGGGTTTCATTACTGCACGAGAATCTTTTTACTGTCCAACTTTACTGTTCAATAGAAACATTTCTTTTCGAAAGTATAATACAACCCCGCAAATGTGCAAGTTGGGAATATTTCGGAAAGTCGCCGAAAATCCTCTCACCTTCTCTGGATGCGACTAACAATAAGTTAGAAAGTAAAAAAATTGTCAACAACTTGTTACGAAAGTAAGTTTCACTCATGATTAGAGCTTAACGGGTTAAAAAATACACAAAAAATGTAATTTTAATGGATGCGTAATTTCTTCCGTATTTACACAGTCGCTCAACATTTTGCTCATTGTTCCGGAGGCTGCAAGAATAGGAGGATGATTTGTTCTAACAGAAACGATCGAGAGATCTTGAATGCTCGAAAACATGTATTCAAAGGAGAATGCTAAAAATAGGCGATTTTTGGACGACCTCCGGAGTAAAAAAAATGTTGCTAACTAGGAAACTAAACTAACTGAACTAACTAACTGACTGAGGAACAAAAAATATAAGTTCCATTATTCCGGGAAACGTCGGGGAAGTCATAAAAAAAATACGAGTTACTAAGTGATTAACATACAAGTAAACTATTACAAATAGGAAACAAAAGAGTAAAGTTGTAATCAAATGAAACATAAACATAGTTATGTTGTTATTACCTCCAAATGGTTTTTTCATAACTTTCTCGACGTTTCCCGGAATAATGGAACTGACATGTTTCGTTCCTTAGAATGCGAAGAATCATGCTGTAACAAAATTTTTTGTTCCGGAGATCGCCCAAAAATCGTCTACTTTTCACACCCTCCTTCTCGAGCACTCCACCTTCATTGTACTTCTTTCAATTCAAGAGGAATTGAGCAGTCGAGTGCTCTAAAAGAATTCGAGCATTTCAATCCAGCCGTAGTTTCGAACGCTGCTCGACCTATCTTAACCCTTTGCACTCGAAAATTTTTCACTTGAAGTATTCTATACTTTCTAATTATATGTAGACAACATTCTTTAAAATGAATTTAACAAGAAATCATACATAAATTAGGTACCAACGTTATTTTCTTTCAATATTTCACGTATCGATGCAGTATACGAAGGTTAATGGTAAATGCCAAAGTTTATAATTTTTCTGTATCAAATCATCTGGCGACTGGAAGTCGCCTCTCGAGTGCAAAGGGTTAATCTTGAGTACCTAAAACTTTCGAGGTTTCGAGCATTCGTATGTAAGAAAATACCAGAAGAAACGCCGCACGACTTTGTCAGTTCATAACGAGGCACAGCTTTTCGACAGGTAGTGCTTAGTAAATCATCGATCGGTAGGGATTAATAAATAATCGAGTCGTTCGAGCTCGTTCAAATTGGCGGTTAGCTGTAAATGCTTCAGCTTCTCAGTGACCGTTCGAGCCTACTCGACTCAAGTTTCGGCTCGAGTAGGCTCGAATAGTTGAATACTATCTCTAACCGTTCACTTCCCGCAGTCCCCAAAACCGTAAAGCCGCTTTCAGACGATGGTACACGTACTGCCAATACGGTAGAATCTCATTTATCCGAAATAATAAATGCCGAACTTCTAATATACAAACTCCTAACTGTATTGAAAATATGTACGCGTTCGTATAACTGAAAGAAGGATTATATTTATGATGTAACAGTTCTTTGAAAAATGGCGGACCATATCTTCCCAACTTACCCTGGACGAGGTTTTATATATTAAAAACAAAACATGAATCCTTGGTGGAAAATATGAATCCTGGTTGACTTTGATTTGCAGAAGGCCGAATTTGGAATACCAAACTTGTAATACATTGTACGCAACTTGTGTCGCGAAAGCGTGAAGCGAGACTTTATGGAAAACAAATATCGCGTTTCGTCAAGCTTAACTCGCTAATAAAGTATATGTAAAAAAAGAACGTACACAGGAACTATGAACGATAGGATGAGATATGCTACGCATCGCTGTTAATTAGCGTCACGAGATAATGAAACAAATTTGGAACATAAAAATGAGACGATAACGAGTCGTTAAAAAACGGAGCCATGTGAAGAATACTGTACTTCGTCGTTACAAACCGCAAAATATTTTTACTTACCAGGAGGCCCATAAAAAAGCAAGCCTCTCGGTGGTTTCAGGTTGAACTTCGCATACACGTCGCCATACATCAGTGGGAACAGAACCGTTTCTTTAACCACTCTGATATGTTTCTCGAGACCTCCGATGCAAGAGAAATCCTTCGCCGAGGACATGTTTCGTGATAAAAAAGATCCGAGCTTTTCTTTCGCATACCCGACCAACGAATTCTCATTTAGATCATTCGATGTTGTACTTGTTGCTCTTCAAATTTCTAGTCAAACCGTAATTCGTTTCAGACACCAGCGACGACGTACACTTACATCGTGAAAGTTCTGTGGATTTTACTGGAATTTTTATTGCACAATGTTAAGAGTGATTCAAATCGATTCACAATATAATTTCATAATTTTTGACGTTCCGTCCATTCGAAACACGCGAAACAGACGAATCGTCGTTGAGGTACGATTAAAAGCAACGTTCGTATGACACTACAAAATTTGTTTATAGCCCATTATGTAAACTAACAGTTCTTAGGAACATTTATTTGTACAAAGATATGTTATATAAATACATATAATTTGCTACTTAAATTTTCCTTCCTTAAATATACAAAGTATATACTAAAATACAAAGTACAAATAGATTGGAATTTTAATGTTTTGTGTTGTGTAAACAAAATAAAAGTTACAGTTTACTCATATTTTATGGCAGATAAAATTCTCGGGGAAATATTAAAGAATCTTATATTTTGAATATCTCTGAATTTTTCAGCTTTGTCAATTCTTTGAGTTTTAGTTTAACATTTAGACAAAATGTGTTTAAAGTTTAGATCATTAAGAAAGAGAGAAGGAACCAGATAATTCAAATAAATATATAATTTGTGTATATAAAATTGAATACGAAGTAAGCAATATAATAGGATTTATTAAAATATAAGACAAATTATTACATTATGAAACTTCAATTTATTATGCTACAATGAATGACAATAAAATGTATTACCTATATGGTAAAATAAATAAGGCAGTGTATGCTCTTTTGCTTTGTTTTCTGAATCTTTTACACATCAGTTCCCTGTCCTTAAAACTGCTGTCTCACAAAAATAACATGAAACTACCACATACCTGTGCTTCATTAAACTGTTCAGTGTATTCTTTGTTGACAGCAGTATTAAAATTCTTCATTATTTGAATACTTTAGCGAAGTAATTATAGTAGTTAGTTAAAACGGCAGTGGTTATGAAAACCTTTCAATAATACAATTTACATATAATTACACTATGTAGTTGCAATATCCTTAGTAATACAGAGATGATAGCACTTCGGAAAATAGCACCAGAAATTATTCTTGGAGTACTTACATGATTTAGATTTTCATTATAAAGTGGAATGTAAAAAATATTAATGAAGGCAGGAAAGTCACAATAGTTCAATCAATATTTACATATTAATTGTAAATGTGATTTTTCTGTATCATTTACTATTTATTCAGATCAATATTTAAATTTTTATTACTGATACCTGTTACATAATTTCTTTGGCAAATATCAGCGATATTCATATTGAAATAGTTTCAAATTAAATAAAAATGATTTTTAGTTAATTGATATTGTGTTCTTGAATTAAGTAGAATTTATGAAACACCTGCAAATATGAGTCATAACATGAGTACACAAGTTCAATACAGTTTTTTGTATCGCTGAAATTTTTACTAATGTTTTAAAAACTAGAAGCAATAATACAGCCTGTTTTTAAACGTTAAACTTTCTTGCATAATACCAATAATAATAATGCAAGATAGCTATAACAAGTAATATGTATCATGCATACTGATACTTATATGTGGCACTAATTTGCACAATGTTGACTGTAATAATAAAAGACATATTCCTGAGTAGTGACAATGTAATATTCACCTGACAATTTCCTTGAATTTCATTAAACAAATTTTAACATTTTATTATATTAATGTGTTAAATATAAATATGAAATATGAATTAATGACTTTCACTTCTTCTCATTTTAATCTTTACCAAATTAATTTACATAATTTTCAAATAATTTCAATAAAATTAGCAATTCATACACTTCATTCACATATAAGAAATTTTTAAATACCGATTTTCAGGAAGTCTATATGTTTCATTAAATTAATATAATATATAACTAAACATAGAGTGTACAATATTAAATTGTGTACATATTACCAAATTTTTAAGATTACTATAATTAATTCATAAAGAAAAAGGTAATTATTCTTGTGCAACATATTAGTAGTACTAATTATCTTTCAAATTAATTATAACAATTTTGGTACAGCACTGTAAGCCATTGGGCATATACATAGATATCATAAGAAAAAGTTATGGGTATTATATTCATAAAATTACAAATATAAAATTACTTTATCTCAAATTTTGCTATTTACATTATCAAAAATTACACGAGAGAATAATCAAATTACTTTGCTAGTTCAATTCTAAACAGAAAATATAATGTACAAGAGAAATAAATACTACATAGTGAGCATTTCTAAAGTTCAGTCTTCTTCTTTTCTATCTTCTAATAAATTTTAAGTAATGATAAAAAAAGTAGCAACCATGTTTTTAATGTTTCATCAATTTAATTTACACATTTAAAATTTTTAATCAACTTGAAATGAATAAAATGCAAATCTAGTCAACATTACTCTTTGACTGCGTCCTATTATAGTTTTATACTATCAATGGCATATCATATTCCTAAGACAGGTATTTCTTATTAATCACACAGTATTCGTTTAAGAATTTCATAATCTTGTTTAAAACGACTTTGACTGTAAGAATGATTAATATATAATTACTTACAGCCCACGCAACCACTATATTCAAATTCACATAATGCTATTTGCATAGTTATGTAAATAATTGAAACTGAATGAAGAAATTGATTAACCTATACAATTTACGCATAAATGAACACTATGTACACAATCCATTATAATAGGAAGAACCACATTGTTTGCATTCTAGAATTGATCAGTTTTTCATCACGCATACATTATCTGGTAACTATATTTTCACAGTTACAGTATGAATCACAACCAGTATACGAATGTAGAATGTACGTTTTACATTAAATATATACTAATATTTATACAGATAAAGTTTCTTTTGCATATGTTTAAAATGTTTACCGAGGTATTTCACATTTATCATAAAGTTTTCAATTCTGTCCACTTTTCTTAATGATGGTACAATGAAAACTTATTTGTAATTATTTCGTTTATGGCTTACAACTTTGGTCAAAATAAATTGAAAAGCTTGTATTTTCGATCGTATCTTAATTACAAGTAAACTCAATTTATCACTTAAGTTAAATTTAATTGTTTGCTTTAGTTATAATCAATTAAATGTATTAATGTAAACAACAATACTAATAGTAAATAACATTACAATGATTCATTCTATCAATGTATATAAAAATAGTACATTAGTATTATTTCTGAATAATTTTTATATACATTCACATAGAATCACTATATTAAATGTTATTTTAATCTGTAGGTACACTATATAAATCTAATACACTAAATAGTTCATTTTTTTTTATTTGTGAATATTTTTAGTACCTGCTATTTCATTTACGCATTTTAATTCCTAAAACTCTTCAAAATAATTAACAAATGATTCCTAATATTCAAACCTACAATAAATTATTTCTAACCATAAATTATGTACAAAGCCAAAATTCTTAATATGCAACATATATAACACTGTTTATAAGATTTGGAATGTATTTACATATCTTTTAGAGCCAATGTTTACGATTTTTATTTATTTAACGGAACATAAAGTAATGTTATTACTGAGAAACGAAAGTGTAATTTGCAATATGTGATATTTGAAAAGGAGTTACAGAATTATGTAAAATTGTTTTGCAAAAATTATATAGTAAGATTTTCTGAAACAGCAAAATTTCAAAAACCAGACATGTGTAATTTTATGTATGTGTATTTGAACCTATGCATCAGGATATGTCTATGTTTAACATATATGTCTATCTATGTTTATCTAAACAATTGTAATAATCCAAAGTAATAACTGGTGCATGCAATGAGACTTTAAAGCATTTCATGTATAGAGTGATTCATTGAATGCTACCATACGAATATACAACAAAATAATTTGATATAATGTACTGTAAAGTATGATATATAAAAACTATAATTAAGTACATATTGTATTAAATTACTATCATCTTTGTATAACCAGTGTTCGCAGCAATATTTTCTTGTTGTGAAATAGTATACCCCTTTAATGTGTAGTTCTTCATATTAACACAAATCGTTCACAAGTACTCTACTAAACCTCACTCCCATTAAAGTGAAAGTGTTTAATGTTTTACAGTACAAGAAACTCATTCGACTGCAATTTATATCAATTTCTACAGATAATTCAATTAAATAAACATACAAAAATTATCATTAGAACATGTCCACTTGATATGAACATCTTTGACTAAACAAAGTTTGAAATCAGCTATATATAGTGAAAGCCAATGAGGTTATAATAATTTATAATTTCATATTTAGAAGCTTAGACAAATGGTTCAATTTTTTAGCTTCACGTATAATGATCCTTTTTTTGTAAATTCAATGCACTGATACATTTTATCGTGTGCTTAAATATTGAAGTTTGAATATATCATAACATTGTTTCTTTTTACTTATAAATACGTATGTAGTAATGACAATTACTTTTTTCTATTAGCCATTAATAGCTATTAAAATCAAAAGAAAACTGAAATATACTATTTCAAGTTACCTTGTGTTTGAACAAGAATGATTGATATCCTTTGTTCGGTGTAAATATACAAAAAAGTTTCATTATAATGGTACTAAAGGTAGCAAAATGACTTATAGCATTTCTGTCTGATTAGCGACATGATGCCCTGTCTCGTATGTTGTCTTGAATTCTTCAAACCGTTTCACCTCCTTGAGCAAGTCCTATATATATTACAAATTACAAAATATTTTATACTGTTATATTATGCCCTCTATATTCTATAACAAATTGGATGAACTAGTAAAACAATATTAAAGTGAAAAAATTAATAAATTTCTAAAAAATGACATTATTCAAACTATACAATTAACAAACGATACAAAGTAAAACTGTAAAAAGTGAATTCAGTATAACATTAGTAAACAATAGTAACAACATATAATTTCTTCAATAATAAAATATAAAAAAATAACAATAAAAACTGGCTTAGAACAAAGTTATATAATTCATGAAACATTATATATAAATATTTCAATTATTCTTTTATATAAAGTAAAATTAAAAAAAAACCAGTTATGTTAGACTTGCCAACTAAATGATTTGTTCAACAGAAAACATACAAACATTACAAAAAATATATATTTAAAAAAAGCCACTAATATATGTATAAACAATTAAATTGATATACGAAATTGAATTTAGTGAATTAAGTATATTTACCTTTGGCAGTGATTTTCTATCATAGTTCTGAGCATATTTTCCTACACACCGACTTAATTGCACATAGATGTCGCATAAAACTTCGACGGGAAAATCTTTTGTAACATCAACAGTGTGTTGCCATGCACTTTCCAACTCATTTTTATCTATAATAAGTTTTTCATTTTCTTCAAATTGGGCTGGACTAGAATCACTTTCAATAGCGAACGATAATTCGTCCATACTCTCTCGTCTAGACGAGGAATTAGATCCAACATTTTCCACATGTTTGTCATTTTTGTCATCTTCTACAAAACATATATCTATGCTTTCAAACTCATTCATAGGTTGTTCAGCGATGCAACTGTGTTGCGTTCCTTGGATATCTTTTGAATTTTCATTTTGTGAATCATTCTCTGTATCGGAATTGTCAAATAAAGGTACATGACCATTCAAAACACTATTTGCTTCAGTTTCAAATTCTTGAAATTTTTCTAAATCGATACTAGTGGTTTCATTAGTCAAACAGACCTTGCTATCGAAAGTAGTAACGCTTTCATCAAACGCAATTTTTTTCTTTTTGTGAACTTTTTTCACATAACCTCTAGCCCAGGCAGGTATTCTACGCTTTCTAGAATTACTATATCTCTTTCCGTTCACGACGAGAGTATGACTAGGACTTCCAGTATCTTTTTTATCTGTCCTTTCAATTGTAGACTCAGGTTGATCCGACTTTGACTGGTTTTTGTTTTCTGCACCTTTATTACTAACATTTTCAGTAATTCTGCGATTTTTCGAAATCTCACGACACTTATCTTCAAAATCAGAATCCAATTCTGCTTTTATTAACGCATATGCATTGTCACGAAGAGAACATGCACGATGTCTTATAAGTTTGTCAGCTGGATCTCTGTGAAAAACAAGATACATACATACACAAATAATAATGAAAATATCACTAGTGAAAAGCTGTATCAACTAGCAACAGTGGTCTTCAATGTTAAATATGTATACAGACTAAAACTGAACCCACAAATATTTTAAGAAAAGTTCATATAAATATATGTTCTAATACGTAAGTGAATATCAATTCTTCATAAATTCAAATAGAATACATGTTACATGAACTTTCCTCATTACTAAAATTTACCCTCAGTGTGTTCTGTATACAAAAAATTGAAGACTACTTAAACTACTGAGCAATGACAGTAACAGATAAACAGGAAAGTCTGAACTACCTCTTCAATATTCCAAGCGAAGGTCTATCACGTAAGCTGATAAGAAAACACAATATGAATGTCAGTATGAACTTTAACTCCATTATTTATATTTATATAGGTTATGAGGGTGATAATGAAGAAATAAATGCCAACATTAATAAATATAAATAATAGTATATAAAGTACTTACAAAACTATAGAAAGTTAATCGATTCTTAACTCCAAAATGAAAATAATTAGTGTAATAATACATAAAACAAACAAAATTTATATAAAGTCTATCTAAATAATCCTGTTCTCAATTACCCTTAAATAAATTTAAATAACAAATTTAATAACATAATTTCTGTGTATTAAATGTACAAACCTATCAGGGTTATATTCTAATGCATTTTTACAAATCAGATCGATATCATCAAGAAAATCCCTCGCGCAAAGATAGCAATGCATATCTATCTTTGTCATCATTGTTTCCAAGTCCATTGGCTGTTTTATAATCATATTATAATCTGGTACTTCTTCTGTGTCCACGGGTTTCGTGAACATAAAAAATCTATAAAAAAAAGTTCATATTAATATAATTTGATAAAACATTAAAAAAAGCAACATATAATATAAATATAGTTACTGTCTATTCCTTGCAAGTTTCGCACATATTTCCCTTAAAAAGATTCTTAATTCTCTTAGTGAAACTTCTTCCTTTTCGTATAATACCTTTTTCTCTTCTTCTGTTAATTTCTTTGGTATGGGATCTGGTGCTAATGGAAGTTCTTCCAAAACTTCTACTTTGTCATCTTTTATTTTTGGCAACTTTAAGCTTTGAACCATGAAAATAGGTCGGAAAAATTTCGACCTTTGTTCTGCCGTTGGCGTTTTCATTGAATAAACTTCTCTACGAAGCTCACTAAAGAGACTTCGTAATTGGTTTGGGAGATCTTGGTATGTTGTATCGCTTGTAGCTAAAATTAAAATAGGCAATGAGGGATCGAGTGCTGCAATACGACACAAAAAAACCGCTTTCACAGTTTCAGGTACGAGTGGCCACCATTGATCAATTGACCGAATATAAATTATGGACGGTACATTTCTGGCAGCTTCATTAAATACCTACATTAGGAAAATATAAGTATATTTTAATTTTTATTACATTCAATTAATATCCAATCATTTCCAAAATTACTAATAACGAACCTGCACACAGGTTTCTTCTGGAGATCGTCCACTTTCTGCAAAAAGAGTGCTAACGTCTAATGTTTGAACGGGTAAATGTTCCATATGATACAATAATGCTTGCGCTAAATGTGGCCCTTGACCCTCAGACAAGTTTCCTCCAGAAATTAGTAACCTTGGGCGATGTATACCTTTAGTAATTTTTACTCTGAAAAAATATTTTTACTTGCATTAAATTCTAAATTATTCCATCGATAATTGAAGATTTAAAGAATGAAGGTATTGTGTAACATTTTTATGAAAACTGAATTATTGCAATAATACAAAGTGATTCAAAGTATTTTTCATAAAAACGAAATAATAATTTTATTGTTTAATCACAGAATAAAGTAATGTAGAAAGAACAAAAGGCATATATTATAAAACAGCTTTCTCAATTTACTTAACACTCGATTTTTTTAACGTAACATCCTCATTCTTTGAACCACTCAATTATAAAATTTTATTACTTTGCCATAGCAGGGTTGATTCCTTGAGGAAATATTCCTTTGATGGAACTTATTAACTCTTCCAATGGAGCTCCTAGTAAAGATTCCATGAAAGGTTGTAATTTTCTTCGAGCACAAGGTGATACTCTTTGTGATGATGGAACAAGCATAGAGCTAGCTTGTAAGAAATCTCGCTTT